GTGGTTGAATGTTGACATAACATTGAATAATTATGAATATTTTATTGGATTGAAATTGCATTGACATTGAGATTGGTTTCAAGAGTAAGCATTCTGATTGGCCGGCTCCAGTGAACGAACCAATCAGAGCGCCGAACGCGCTCGATTCTATTACGTTACGAATTCGATAGTTATTCGAAATTCGAAAAGTTGTTGTGTTGTTGAGATCTTTGCACAGCCTGAGAACTCAGTCAGATGGCTCGTTAATAAAATAGAACTGCCTCAAGTCCTATTTAATAAGTAACGTAAGTTGTATAAGCTGTAGAACTCCTTTTTAAGTCTAGTAAAAATCCTCTCTTTCCTTTTTCAAGGTAACAAAACCCAGCTGTTTAACAGAGGGAAGCTAATAAACGTCGGTTTCGTTGAAGCAATCCGGTATAGAAAAGATGGGTACCAATGCATCATCCTTCATGACCCATACATTATACCCACGGATACAAGAAACCTCTACAGATGCAGCTGGTATCCCAGACAGCTTGCTACCTTCGTTGAAAGACCTCAGAAGTAAAGCTCACTCAATATTTTTATTTTTCCCGCCCAAAAGCATAAAGTGTTGCCATATTGTGGATTTTATTACAAACGTATTTTTGGTAGAAATTAGTGTTTTTAGTGTACCTTTTTTGAAGTAAAATAAGTAACGTTTCTTTAGTAAGATTACTGAACCAGTTTAATAATTTTGTTAAATTACCTGTCTTTCAAAAACCAAATATAGATATAGTAATTTTATGTGTAACAGGCACCGATCTGCCACTCCGTATCTCACCTAGACAAAGTACCTACGTAATATTCTGTTTATTCTAATATTTATATTATATACCACGACAGTGTCAAAAAAAGAACATGGCCCACCAGATGGTTGGTGGTTACCGTGGCCTATGTACGCTTGCAATACCTAGGGCATTACATGCGCCTTGCCGACCCTTGAAAAACCTATTTACTCCCTTATTCAAGAACCCCATGTTGTAGCCTACTAAGAAAACCAAGGCAGGGAGTTCACAATCAGAGGGTCCGATACCCTTATCTTATTCATATTTTCACTTCCCAGGCCTCCTTATATGCCAGTACTTGGAGGCGCAGTTGCAATAACTCCGCAGCAATTTGTTAAGTTAAATGGATTTTCGAATAACTACTGGGGTAATGATGCAGATTATTACGATTTGCACTACAGGTAATCTTATTTTCCAGTTACTAATATTTCATTGTCCGCATTCCTCATCATTATTTTTCTATTCGTAAAAGTACTAATCATCATACAATAGATTGTGTCTATGACAGTTCAGTGCTGGACGAAGAACGTTCGTAATTATGAGGGTTGGTCATAATATAGAGGTATAATCTCCACGCGGACAAGGCGTAAAAGTTTCAGAAGCCTTGGTACGAATTTTTTTAAGTTAAAAGTAATCGAAACAAGTAAGCGTTCGGCGCTCATTGGCCGGCTCCAATGAACCAACCAATCAGAGCGTCGAACGCTTATTCGTCTCGATTACTTCTAACGTAAAACAAACTGGTACTAAGGCCTCAGGTTCGACAATAAGCGCTACATTCCGGCAGGTCTTCGTTAAATGTGTAGGCAGTTCCCTACAACACTCACTAAGAATAGGAAACGTGACTACTTTATTCTAATCTCCTGTCACCACGACTCACGTGTACTATATTAACTTATCAACACATTATATAATTCGATCGCATTTCAGGATAAACAATTCGAACTATCACGTCGAAAATAGTGTCCCGTTGTTTGGTAAATACAAGACTTTACGAAAAGGTTTAGCTTTGTGGCAAAAGTAAGTTCTTTATTGGTGGAAGTAATTTTTTATAATAACTATCGTGAGACATACTTTATTAACTAAAATCGCGGGTTACTCACGTGAATATACTGAGCGACCTAATATCTATACGAGTGAGCTGCGCGACGTCGCCGCGACCGCGCACGCTGCTCATGAGGAAGAACCCCTCTGTGGTTGGAAACTAGTAGAGCTTTTCTCAATATATTCACGTGAGTAACCCGCGATTTTAGTTATGGTGGAAGTAATTTATTATAAATAATAATAGACTTTCAGATATAACGACTTGTTGTATAAATTAAATGATCGAGTTTCTCCTCAGGTCTACTGTTCTAGCAAGGACGCTATCAGAATACTTACAGGATGGACTAACATCTTTGAAATATACCGTAGACAGTGTGGAACTCAAACGGTTATTTACATATTTCCAAGTAAACATCGATGCTGGAGCTAACAGTATTACAGAAAGGATGACCAAAGAATACGATAAACGCTTGAATTTAAGCACCATGAAAGTATCATCGATGAAGTAGTTCGGATGTAAATAAACGTAATGCCTAAAAATTAGAATGTTTTAATTTAGAGGAAGAAACTTATAATCATTGGTATTTTGGACTGACTTGTTGATCGAGTGGTCGCAAGTGCGACTGCCGGCCAAAAGGTTTCAGGTTCGATTCCCGGGTCGGGCAAAGTATTACTGGGTTTTTTTAAAATTCTCAGTAGTAGCACGGAGCCTGGAACTGTGCCCGTTATATGGCAATAGGCTCACCCCCTATTACATAGGACTCATTACATTATACAGTGGCATAATGTGCACCTCTGCCTACCCCTTCGAGGATAAAAGGCGTGATCTTATGTTATGTTATTGGTATTTTTTAGAGTAAGAGTACTTTGTAAGAGTGAGATAACCCGGCTGACGGAAAACCTGATGGCAAGCAATCGGCCACGCCGATGGATACCTGAATTCCTTATTGCCGTTATGACTTGGCAGTGGAGTGGAGTCGCATTATGAGTGCGTTGCCGCTCTTTTAGGGGTTAGGAATCTGAGGATTGACGAGGATTTATGGATTGGAAAGATTGGGGAGGGGTGATTGGGCCTAAGTGAAATATATGTATGAAATAGTTTTGGAAGCAGCCGAGAATGATATTTTTAGTAGGTAGAATTTTTCTATATCTAAGCATATAGAAAATTTTAGGTACGATATAATAAGTAGGTACTAACAGTTAACCACCATGTCTGTTTCAAGTGGCACAGTACCATCAAATGAACCAATCGTTAAACTTATTACACAAGGTATCCGGTAATTAATGGATAACCTTGAAATGTCTTACATTCCAACTTTATGCGAAAAGATTTTCTCTATAGTCAAGAGGTTCAAACTTTGCTTAAAAAATGTTTTCTACATATTTTTCAAAAATATATTAGTTTGCGTATATGGTTTTTTAGCTAATAATACTATTTACTTTCTATCTATAAGCACAGTTAGTGTATAATAATAAAACCACAAAAAAAAAATCATATTTAGTCATAGTGATCAGGATAGTAAGTAAAAAAGATATTGGTGTAATATGTACTTATTATGTTTTGTATTTTTTTCAGGACGGCCATAAGTTGTACTGTAAGACATTTTTCATTCTCCAAGTTACCGCTATACTTATTATACTCTTTGAGTTACCGGACGGTTTATTTTATATTTGATAACCGACGTTTTGAAAAGGTTTCAATCAATCAATCATTTATTATTTTTGTTGTTGTAACGGAACTTCGCCTACGACCAAAGAGTACCTATAATAAGTATAGGGGAACCTCCGACATATTTTTGACAAGTAAGTTTCATGCCAATGGATGATTAACTCTTTTTATTGTCATGATATAAAATTAAGGTATGCAAAGAGGCTGAATACTAATTATTAGCCTATTAGAAGTGACATCTATTTATTTGGTGAATAAAAAACTTAAATAACAACTATTACATAAATAAAATTAAAACTAAATATTACTAAATTAAATATATACAACTTATGATTAGCCTTAGCCTATTTGATTGAGGTTCAACGAGAGTTTGAGACACTGACACTGGGAAGGACGTATTTGTTCTATCCCGGAAATCAGGGACAGTAACTACGTTAATCTTCTGGGGTCTCTCTATTTTTTAAACCATTGAACTTATTTGAGTGATATTCGTTACAGTAACGCGACGATAGTTTGAGACTTGGAAAATGACGCCTGAGAGCCAACCGCTGTACCTATTTGATTGGAATTCAAATGGAGTTTTAATCTCTATCTCGCCTGGTGGTAAGCGATGATGCGGCCTACGATGGCGCACGTCGTCCCATAAAAGCAACTTAGTCACTCGGGCCTTGAAGATACCCAGGTTATACCCTTCAGGAAATACAGACTCTGGCCAAGAATTAACGTGCTACAAATTGTGGCACGCTGTGACGTCACACGATAAGTATTTCAAATTAATATATCGTCGAAAGTATTTATTTTGTAAGAAAAGAAAAAATACGTGTAATTTTAAATTAATATACCAGATGGACATTAAAACTAAATTTTGGAAATTACCCTACAATCGGTTAACTTTACACTCAGTCTGTGTAGGTACTGTACTGAGTCACTCAATATTCTTTATATAGTCACATTCCAGTAGTCTATTGGGTCAATCTTACTTATACCTTCTTATTACAGTGTTATTAGAGAAACCAGTTTCAAGCTAGTTCTTATGTTTGGCTTGTAGGTCACAAGGCACACCTAATAAGTAGGTACGACTCGGGCTCAAGCACGGCTCCGGCACAGCATTTTCTGCTTTGCAACAATATAAATAGGCCGCAAGCTACCACCCGCGCTCTGGCATCTTCTTTCAATTTTAGGTTTAATTTTTTTTTAACGAACGATAAATTTCGTGTCTTTTTTTAGTAGCTTTTTATGTTTTGTCCACATTATTTTTGACAGTAACATGTACTTACATGACAGAACCATGGGTGATTTTCGAATTCATGACTCTGCTACACGACAAATGTTACAAATACAAATTTTGCTGTCTCTTTCGCACTACAGATGTACTGCTATATTTACTCTTGTCTCTCACGAGCAATATCCTAAAATTTAATCGCGTAACAGAGTAAAATATTACGTCATCTCGTCAGCCGTCATTTCAAATGACAAAAGAAAATAAAAAAAATACTATGGCCTGTATTGTCTAATTTTGTATTGTGCTAAAAGGAAAACGCTGAAAATTATTATTTTTAATGATTTCAATGATATCATGATAAGTGTTTTAACTAAATAAAACGATAACGATGGCATTTTTGGAGGTAATTATGGAATATTAATTAATATGAGCTACATAATTAATAAAATTAGTGCCAATGTTGTTGCTGTACTTTTTGTTTGTAATGTACATTTAGTACAGCACGTATCTCACGTTATTTTGCATTTAACGACACCAGAGACTTAAAAAACCACAATGAATTTTAACATGATGCCTATAAACCGTATATTTACATCTAAAAACGTGCTTGATTTGCAGCGAAGGGTATTTACATTTTTCGACATTCATAAGAACGTTGACAACGGGAAAGTAGCTGAGTGCTTGCAAGTAAGTGATTTTGTGTTATATTCTACTAACCATAACGTATATGAGCACTTATTTTAATTAGCAATAAGTGCTTGTTTTTGTTTGTTAAATACATTAGTACATAGTAACCTCCCCCTTATAGACCTCTTTTGCTCTTGCCAGTATTAAACTAGCATTCTAATACTGAAACATCTACCAAAACTTAATGGTTTATTTACCTACACTGTTATACTGTAAAGTTATATTACACCTTTTTTCAATTTTGTCCATGATGACATTTACTTGTGCAAAAAGACCAACATAATATGAGTACAATATGAGGTGGAGTCTATACCAATGACGCGGGCTGCTCAGGTTCGAGATCTGGGAGTCATAATGACACCAGACTTAACCTTTCGGGAACACATTATTAAAGTATGTAAAAAAGCTTACAGGAACTTAGGGTTTGTACTGAGGCAGACACAGGGGTTTAATAAAGTATCTACGCTCAAGGTACTGTATGATGCTTTGGTCAGGAGTCACCTTGAACATAGTGCAGTCATTTGGGCGCCGTATGAAGCGAAGTACAGTGTCATGTTAGAGCGAGTTCAGAATAAGTTCACAAGGCACTTGTACTTCAAACTGTACGGTGTATACCCTTTTTATCCATTAATGTACCCGACATTATTTGTATTGGGTATGGTGGGGTATAATGAGCTAAGAGTGCGCAGGGAATTTACTCTGGGTGCTTATGTAGTAAAGTTGTTGCGAGGCGTCGCACATAACCCGGAAGTACTGCGCCACCTGCAGCTGTGCGTACCTGACCGGTACGTGTGGAGGCGACATTGTCCGCCACTGCTTGCTGTACCTGTGGCCAGGACCAATCTGCTGGCCAAGACCCCGCTCACACGAACCATTCACATGGTGAATGAGGTTCATAGCCGTATAGATATATTTTCCGGAAATACGAGTGATCTCATTAGAGTATTATTACACATAAGTTCCTATATTATATTGTAATAGATTTTTGTGATCTCATAATATTATTGTTTATCATTTTCTTTATTTTGTTATAATTGTTTATTATAGAAGCAGTCAATTTATTTTGTTTGATAAGTGGTCAATTTTAATAGTTGTTAAGTAAAGTAGTGTATGTCTTTAGGTGTTATATTTAAGATTTAAATTTTATGATTACCTGTACATATAAATAGTTACTTGTAGTTTTAAATATTTACTATAATAGTTATATTTTAATGGGGAATTTTTATTGTTTTTATCTGAATTGTGTAGGTATCTAGATTAGTATAAAGCACAAATTAAAATTTAATTTAATTATATAATAAGTAAATACTGGAATAAGTAAGTATTTGTAAGACTGATGGCCACACTATCGTATTGGATTAGTCTGTAATGGTAGTTGTTATCATTAAATAAATAAATAAATAAATTTAATTAGATTGAAAAAAGGTGTAATATCTAACTAGATGGAATACCAAACAATAATGAAACGACTCCCATTTTACGTCTGTTCTAATAACAAATTTGAAATAAATAGTTTTCAATGTTAGTCAGATGATAAACAATATTTACAGTCAACATGTTTACCTACTTATTAAGTTATTTACATATTGACTAATTAGTATAGCATAATGAAGTCATTACACTATCATTATTATTCATGATTGAAATAAAAGCAGGTAAATTAAATACACAAATAATTTTCCAACAATAAGTATGTCATAATGTAGTTAATATAAGACACTAAATGTCATCTTACTCCTGACAGGCACAGCTTCGGCACGGCTCCAACACAGAAATTACATATGAACTTTAAATCTCATGTAGACATAATTTCATAATGTCAATATAAAGAGGTGATGCTGGAGCGCAGGCGGCACTTACAACCTATTTGTATAAAATTAGATTAAAATTCTGTGCTGAAAAATCTGAGTGGAGCTTATTAGGTGTGCCTTGTGATCCACCAACCAAACATAAGAACTAGCTTGAAACTGGTTTCTCTAATAACATTCTAATAAGAAGGTATTAGAAAGATTGACTCATTAGACTACTAGAATGTGACTATAAACATAAATATGATAAAGAATATTGGGTGACTCACAGTATGCACAGTGGTGTAAACTTTGCTGATTGAATTCCTACATAGAACAATTTGGTTGTGTATTCTACAATTTGGTTACTAAAGTACAGAAGTACATAAAACACAATCATTACTCTCGTCATGGGTATATCCATATTAAGATTTTGACTTTGACTTTGACTTTAAGCAATCCAGAACACAGAAAAAAAATTACTGAGCACTTTGAAAAATATAATATACCTGTCATTAATAGCTACTCCTATGCGATTTCTATTGCTTGTTGTATCTGTTGCTTGGCTGTTATTGATCGTAGAGTATGTGTTGAGTATGATAAATTGAAGTGGAATTCTTCGCTAGATGGGATGACATGCTCCATCGTAGACCGACCACCGCTTACCACCAGCCGAGATAGTGGTTAAACGTTGGCCCATCAAGCATAAGAAAAATGTCCAACAAAATAATTATTAAATTTGAACCACTACTTTCGGAGATAAGCGCATTCAAAGATACAAATACTACAACTTTATTTATTCACATGTCAAGAGAAGTGTTCACGTCGCAAAATACTTAAATCTAAAGGAATAATATTTACAAAACAAAAAAAACTCATTTAATGTTGCATATTCTGTCAGTTTTCGTGCATATTTTAGGCATTTTTCATGCATATTTGCATGCATATTTTAAGCTTTTTATGTTGCATATTATCCGGTCTCTAATTATGTGTATCTTATTCTTTTCTTCTATTTCCAGGACACGCATGTAACAGCTACAACAAGTGGTAACGGTCATGTGGTCCTGTGTGATGTTACGGGCTGGGCCCATCTCATCTCTCGGTCATGGGAGATCACCTCGTTCAAAGCGTATGAGTTGACCGTGACTCTAGCTCAGCAATTACCTCATGATCCTTATCTTGTTACCATTGGGGTGAGTTTGCTTTGATTTTTAAATACTAAACTTGAGTTTTTTTCAAAATGTTTGAATGATTTATAATTTTATAGTATAGGCAACAGATTAATTTTTTAGAACTGGCACATATAATGAAACGAAATATTGATTAAAAGATTGTATTTGAAGTGATGGCGTACCATGAGTTCCTGAAAGAGGTATACGAAAACTAGGGAAATTATATTTATACTTTACTTTTCGTAATAATTCCAGGATGATGAGACTGGAGTGCTACCACTGATCAAGGTATGGGACTGGTCGCGCAGAGACCGGCATGGGAACCCAACCTGCACGCGAGTGTCTCGGGCTGTACCATCACACATGAAGCCGACACCTGCCACAGCTCTTGCTGTCCATGAAAACAAGGTATTATATGTTTAGGTACTGGTTTATATACCATCTTCCAATGATATCTCCCGTCTTGGCTGAGGAAAGAGTGTCAGACATTCATTTACTGGCTAAGATCTACCTAGTTCCTAATCTTGCTTCTAACTCCGTAACTCTGGAAACCCGCTAGATCTTCTGCGGGCTGCAACTAAATGTGGAACAGATATCTTCAACCGATTGAGTTGAATAATTGTATACACGTTTAGTTTGCATAACCAAGAATAGTAAGCTGCAGAAATATTTATTAAAGTCATATTCTGTTGGTTTTGTTTTCAGAATCTATTAGCAGTTGGGTTTCTAGACGGTTCGGTGTCACTGTTCCGTGGCGACATCGCGCGACAACGTAGCGGTAAAATGAGGACTTTGCCTGACACGGGCACCAGTCCTATCACAGCACTCGCGTTTAAGTATGTATAACGATGCTTAGTATTGATTTAATACGATCTCCGGCCACCGTAAGCGCGGGCCTGCGGACGGCGAGCATGGGTGGCTCGCTGCCCGACCAGAACCAGACCCGAGCGTACAAAGAGCGTACTCAAAGAGCCATCAAACCACCATGGATGGGGCCCAATAGGGTTGATGCCGATTCTGAGTCGCGGAGAACCTAACGAGTTACTGGGGCTCCGGCTCGAAGCGCAGGAGAAGGAACGGGGTGGTTTTTAGTCAGAAAAAGTGACACTCCCTCGCACCTCACCCGGGCGGGTGAAGACATTCGATGATTTGGATTTGAAAAAGCATTGATTGATGATAACGACTATTGTCTTAGTGACAATATTTCTGTATCTTTTGTTTCAATTCACCGAGGGAAATGGGACCTATTTAGTTTTTCTTCGCCTCTAATAATTTCTTCTGATTTATTTTGTTATTTATGTCCCTAGAACGCACCGGACTTTAGTGTTCCGTTGTTTTCATGGTTGTATCAACTGTAGACAGGACAGGAGTCTGTGGTGGGCTTGTTCCAAATAAAAAGGGTATTTTTTATAAAATGTAGGACTGTATGGAGACATATTAAGCATATCTAGTGAAGTAAAGGTTTGCATGTCCAGAGGCGCGGACAAGCTGTACGTGGTGTCCCGCGCGGCGGTGAGCGTGGTGTGGCTGGGCGTGGAGCGCTGCGTGGCGCTGGACTGTATGGGCGCCGCGCCCGCCTGCGCCGTGCTCGCCGACAGCCAGGGACTCACCATCGCCAACAACGAGGTACCGCATACGCATCACTGTTTATTAAAGCTTAAAAACTTATCATATATAGCCAAATAAAATTCAAGTTAGGGCTAACAATTTAGCTATGAGAATGTTTGTCCAATCATTGTAGCTGACAAGAATAATTAAAGCAAATTAATAATCAAATTAGTCCGTCAGTTAGATTATGAAATATGAGACACGTATTTTTTATTTTCTACCTTTTTTCTTACTACCAGACGGATATTAAAGTAAATGTTAGGAAATTAACCTATTTAAAAAAATGTTGCCCCACCCTAGGATTTTCTCCTGTGTCGTGGGTGCGTTTACAAACATTCAACTTCAATCCGCGGCACGCTACGCACGTTGTCAAAATTATTATTTAAATTATTATTTTGACAACATGCTAATATTGGACAAATGGAATCTAGTACTACATTAGCACCATCTAGTGACCAATAAAATGAAATCCTTAGTTAAAATAAGCATGTGACGAAAATGGCTGTTGAATAGATTAGTACCTGTTAGGTAGCAAATAAGTGACTGCTCATCGATTACACGGATTATATTAAATACTAGAGAGAAAGAAAGAATGGAAAAACATTTATTCGACAGTAGGCACGCACACATGTACAAAAAAAATACAATATTAAAAAAGAAAAGAACAAATGAATACATATATAATAATGATAAAAAACAAAGTACGACAGAGTATAACTATTTACAATTGAAATGGACTATTTACTATGTATGTTCTTTGTGTGTTTGTGTAATTTATTATTTTGATTATTTGATGTATGAACGAATTGATTATTATTTTTATTATTTTTAATTTATTATGATACTTGCTATAGAGACAATTTTTTAATTTTCTAATTTATTTATAAAATTTTGAACCTGAATTCGTTTTTAATGTAATTTTATGGATTTTATTATCTGAAATAAATTGCTATTATTATTATTATAACAACACAGTGACAAAGTATTACTGGGTTGTCTAAAATAAATCTAAGTAGTAGCACGGAGTCTGGAAATGTGCCTGGTATATGGCTATTGGCTCATCCCCTATTACGTGGGACTCATAACATAAATAGGGAAAAGTGGGTGTTACATTGTACAGTGGCATTAAGTGCCGTAATTGTGCACCTACCCCTTCGGAGATAAAAGGCGTTATGTTATGTTACTATTAGATTATTTTTTGCATCAAACACCGTACATATTTACCTCATTTATAGCCTATAATAAAACTATATCCGTTTCCCTAGGCTCTCTACGTGTACACAACGGAAGGCCGAGGTCCTTGTTACGCCCTCGAAGGGGAGAAGGTCCGGCTCGACTGGTTTCGAAGCTACCTGGTTATTACCAGAAATGAGAGTCCAAGCAAGTCTACAGCATCCACAAGCACCGCACCAATCCCAAAGTCCCACAATATCACCATACTTGACATACAAAACAAATTCATTGTCTTCTCAAAAGCCTTCGAAGAAATCGACGCCGTGTTAACAGAATGGGGTTCATTTTATATTCTGACGAAGAATAAAGAAATGATATACTTAGAGGAGAAGGATTTGCAATCGAAATTGACGTTGTTGTTCAAAAAGAACCTTTATGATGTTGCTATTAGGATCGCTAGTAGCCAGCATTATGATGAGGCTGGGCTCACTGAGATCTACAAGCAGTATGGTGATCATTTGTATAGCAAGGTGAGTCATTGTGTTGCTTGATTTATTGTCTTACTTGGCTACAAGCGGGATAAAGCCGAGAAACTCCCATTTCCACCAACCTCTTCTAAAGAAACTTAAACTGCACTGCCCCTGAGTGATCACCGGTGACCACACTCCACTTATTCCATTATAGATCTTATTTCCGATGTTTAGAGACTACTTTTGCATGGACAATTTTTTCATAATCAGGGATTATGAAGTTAAGCCAGATAGGTGACATTGAAACATATTTAGATTTTCCTATCAATGCCAGCTAACATTACAAGGGCTGATTTTTCAATGACTAGTAAAATTTTATCAAAGGAATTCTTTAATACTAAAAAACTGTCAAATGTCAATTTATTCAACAGTTAAAAATCATTTGAGGCCTTAAACTAACTTACTTATGGTCGATTTTTCAATGAACAGAGGCCTTAATACGAGTATGATTTATGTTTAAAGTATTCGAAACGAGTATGCGTTCAGCACTCTGATTGGCCGGCGCCAATGAAGCAACCAATCACAGCGCCGAACGCGTACTCGTTACGATTACTTTAAACGTAAAACAAACTCGTACTCCTCTCTCGGCCTCTGTTCATTGAAAAATCGACCTTAAATAAGTTAGTTTAGGTGCTACGTCATTCTCCATAAATGAATCCATGAATTTGTTAAGAACATTGTTTAACGATTACAGGGAGACTTGAAAGGCGCAATAGAGCAATATGTCAAAACTATAGGTTGGTTGGAAACCTCGTACGTCATCCGCAAGTATCTGGAGTCTCGACACTTGGAGCCCCTCGTGCAATACTTGGAGGAACTACACAAGAAGAAAGGATGTGCCACTGAAGACCACACCACCTTACTCCTCACTTGTTATATGAAGATAGACCAGCACGACCACCAAGGGAAACTCAAGGAGTTCATCAATTCCAAGGATAAAGCCATCGATTTTGATGTCGACGTGGCTATAAAGGTATGTTTTTTTTATAAAATAGTTAACGGGGACTCCGTTGCCGTGTCGAACAATGCAATAATGAGAAATAGGCATAAACTTTATTACATGGGACTGAGAATAAATAACTAACTTTACTGTCGACTAGATTCTCAACCTTAATTTTTTACACTTAAGTATAAAATGAACTATGAAATATGTTAAAAATGACTGCGTCGTTGGCCAAGTGCGAATGGCCGGGCAATGGGTCTCGGGTTCGGTTCCCGGGTCGGCCAAATTATTACTGGGGTTTTTTTTTTAATTCTTAGAGTAGCATCTAGTGTAGCGCCTGGAACTGTGCCCGGTATATGGCAATAGACTCACCCCCTATTACATGGGACTCGTAACTTAAATGGTGAAAAGTAGGTGTTACATTACAATGGTATTAAGTGCCGTTATGTGAACCTCTGCCTACCCCTTCGGGGATAAAAGGCGTGTTGTTATGTTATGTGTTAAGTTAAAAATCGAACTATCCTACTAAGTAATATTATAAACTAGCTTCTGCCCGCAACTTCGTACGCGCAATCCCGTTTCTCCCGTTCCCGTAAGATTTTCAGGATTTTTTTCTGTCATAAGAACTTTCACCTGACAATAAAAAACACAACAAAAAAAAAATCAGCCAAATCAGTCCAGCCGTTCTCAAGTTATGGCGTGACAACGGGAAACGGGTTTCATTTATATATATATGTTACCGGCCAAACCCGATTTCAGGACAAACTAGTTTTGCCTAGGCTAAACTAGTTCTTCCTATACGCGTTAGCCTAGTTCAAACTAATTTGTCCTAAGTCCGATAGGATAAACCAGTTTAAGCTAGGACAAACTAGTTGATCCTAATATAAATACGCACACTCTAGGATTAACTGGTATGGCCTAGTCTAAACATTCTAATATATCTAGAAAGTCGGAATAAATAAATAAATTGAATAAAATACTCCGTAATTGAAAAAAATATCATTTTTATTAAACTATAATGATTCGTCGTTAAAACTTATAGTTAATTGGTTATGCGAACAATCATGCTATAACAAATAATAAGTGTTTTTTAAAAGAAGCAATAATGATTTAAATTGTTATTAATTTAAAATCATGATGATTCGTCGCTACAAGTTATACAAACAATCATAGGTACTATAACAAATAATACTGTTTTTTATCACATAACATCACACCTTTTATCCCCGAAGGGGTAGGCAGCGGTGCACATTATGCCACTGTACAATGTAACACCGACTTTCCACTATTTATGTTATGAGTCCCATGTAATAGGGGGTGAGCCTATTGCCATATACCGAGCACAATTCCAGAGTCTGTGCTACTACTGAGATTTAAAAAAAACGTGCGACGTGTCGCGGGTTCGATTCCCGCACGGAACAACACTTTGTGCGATCCACAACTTGTTGTTCCGGGTCTGGGTATCATGTGTATGTGAATTTGTATGTTTATAAACGCACCCACGACACAGGAGAAAATCCTAGTGTGGGGCAACGTTTAAAAAAAAATACCCAGTAATTGCACCTACCATTTACTCTTCTCTGCATTACCCAAAAGTCAGACTGGTAGAAAACGCCTGCGGCATTAAGTATTTGTAAATTTTGTGCATGAAGCATATTCAATAAATAAAATAACTAATACTGTGCCCGGGAATCGAACCCGAGACCCCTTGCCCGGCAGTCGCACTGCGACCACTCAGCCAACGAGGCAGTCGCATTGTTTTTTTTTAATAGACGCAATAATCATAATGTCATAATATTATTATGACTAGGTCATACCAGTTTATCCTAGAGTGTGCGTATTTATATCAGGATCAACTAGTTTGTCCTAGCCTAAACTGGTTTGTTCTATCGGGCTTAGGACAAACTAGTTTGAACTAGGCTATACTAGTTAATCCTAACGCTTATAGGAAGAACTAGTTTAGCCTAGGCAAAACTAGTTTGTCCTGAAATCGGGTTTGGCCGGTAACATATATATAGATTCGAGTTTGTGAGAAGTAATGAATGTATGTTTGGTACCCTTTACGCTAAAGCTACTGGACGCACTTGGATAAAATTTGGCACAGAGAATAGATACATAGGTAAATTTTTGACCTGGGAACACGGGCGAAGCTAGTTCTTAGCACATACTTGTTTTTCCAGGTGATGCGTCAAGTAAGCGTAGACGACGCGTTATCTCTAGCAGCGAACTACAAGCGTCACGATTGGTACCTAAAGATGATGTTGGAGGACAAGAAGGATTACCGCCAGGCGTTGGACTATATAGTCGAACTGGAGTTTGAGGACGCTGACATGTATATGAAGAAATACGGACATAGACTCATACAACATGAGCCGGAGGAGAGTACCAACTTCTTGAAATGTGAGTGACGCTAAGTAGATGGTTATTCTTAAGTTAAAGTGGCCTAAGTTACGCCTTAGTACGTCAGCTTTCTGCAATAAAATTCCCGACAAAATCGGTCCAACTATATCAGAGATTTTGTTTAAGCTTTAGTGTTTATTTTTAACATTCAAATCTGGTTTGCTTAAATTATCATAGGTCAAAGTCAAAGTCAAAGCATTTATTTCAAATAATCCTTAATTAGGCACTTTTGAAACGTCAAAAACTTATAAGTAGCCACTGCTGAGCAAAGGCCTCTTTTCATATGAAGAAGGAAATAGCAGCAACCACCACGCCTGCTCAATGCGGGTTGGCGATTTCTAATAATTAGAAATTATAAGCCTAGTTTGCTTATGATAGGTAAACCCTTCACCGTTTGTAAGTGCTGTCTAATTACTTTTAGAAATTACGTATATTCGGAATAACACCAATATACGTAAAATTAAATATTACGTATATTGGTACTTGATTAAGATTTAAAATAATAGCTATTAAAACTGGCACAATATAAAACCTAATGGGTCTTCTGTAATACATTTAATTACGAAATTAATATACAACAAACATGGCTGAATAAACAATTAATCTTCTTCCTTTCCCACAGTACTATGCACAGACTACAAGCCCCGCAGCAAGCCGCTGGTGGACGAGGCCTCACTATCAGGGGGCGGCGTCCGAGCCCCGGCCTTCGCCCTCCCAGACGAATACATACATATGTTCCTCGCTAACTCGGAGCGCCTCATCGACTTCCTCGAACACATGATCAAGACACAAGATGATTGCTCCAAGCTTGTCTACGATGCTTTAATCGAACATTATATACATGTTTGGTGAGTTTTTCTTTAATAAAATCACTACATAGTATAAAACAAAGTCGCTGTCCGCCGTCTGTCTGTCCCTATGTATGCTTAGATCTTTAAAACTGCACAACGGATTTCGATACGGTTTTTGTTTAATAGATAGAGTGATTCTTACGGAGGGTTTAAATGTATAATACATGCATATTGCACCCGTGCGAAGCCGGGGCGAGTCGCTAGTACATAATATAATTATTTTCACGAATAACCCTGTTAGATTCATTATGTTCTACAGCTTGTTCTTGTAACTGGACGACGACGTGGTCACTCGATTATCGGCCCTGGACTGCCTTGACACTAATGTCAAGGCAGTCCAGGGCCTATAATGGAAATAAGAAGCATTATTTGATAAAAATATCATAAACAAAAGTATTTGGAAACTAAAATTTGTTTAAATATCGTTTACAAGTTTATTCCATGGCATGAAAAGACGATTTACTTGTGGTAAATCAATGTTTTCAACCGCCAACTGCGCGGCTTATCACATTTTCAGTCTAATATACAACCGCGTCAGGAGATTCGAACCGCCTAAACGGTCAACCGTTCGCGTATGGGAGCTTACTATAATACTCCTTTCGATCCAGGGCAAAATCTCCAGAGAGTGAAAAGAAGGAATATGAAGAGAAGATACTGGGAGTGCTGAAGAACCCGGAGGCCAACTACGACAAGGACCAGACGCTCATCATATGTCAGATGCTCGGCTTCCAGGCCGGAGTGTTGTACCTCTACGAGGAGAATAAACTGTGAGTCACTTCTGCTGTTAACAAGTTTCTATTTAACTTACAATGTAGGTGTTTTGTGGAATGGAATCTACAAATAAAATGTTGGAGTTATGCGTAACTTACTGTTTTTGCTATGGTGGTAAACAATCGGCGTCGTAGAGAGTAATCCTTTTATTATGATGCCAATATATATACAAGGTGTTGTTTTAAAGCCGCGTCATGTTCTAGGAGGTAACTCGGCCAACGATTCTGAGTCCGAATCAATAAAAAAAATTGTAGGTTTTTGTAGATTACGGAAATCAGTAAGTGCGAACTACACGCCGCCGTCATGTAACTAGCTTTATAACGCGGATTAACACACACAAACTCAAACACGTAATTGATATTATTTCTAATTCCATAAAACTCCAATAAGAAACATTACTGTCGAACTGAAACGATTTATTATGGCCGTATTTTTAACTAACGGCCCGAAACTTTCTCTTACATTAAACCTTTATGACTTCTGTGACATTCATGCCCCCGAGAAATGTCACGGTTTCAAAACTACACCTTGTATAGTTTTTGACAATTCTGAATTCATTTTGATCTTGATATTATGTATATTTTTCACAATATGTCTCCTGGGTGTGCGAACTTAATCAAATTGATTAGTTACTTAATATTATCTGAACTTTCGGTAATTTTATCATAATTTTTAAGTACGAGGATTATGTTTAATAAGTTGTAATAAAAAAAAATAAAAACTCGTTTAAAAACCGACTTTAAAAATTTTTAAACAAAAACAAAAAAAAATATAAACTAAATAGCAAAAAGTAACTATTATTATTAGTACTCAGTTAGAAGTTGGCGCTATAAGTTCTATACAAAATTATTCATTAAAACCTTAATATATACCTAATATTAAGTTGTTTACAATTTTGTTACCATTAAGTTATATCATTTTGATACATAAATGGGATCCTCTCTGGAGCCTTTCGAACAAAACAAGAATTTTAAAAATCGGTTCACAGCCGCATTGCCTTCGCCGATGGCGGAGTAATCGGTGAACACAAAAAAAACAATCCGAACCTCTTCCTTTTTTTGAAGTCGGTAAAAAGCCCTTTATTTAGGAATATAGGTACATATACCTAGTGATCACAATGGACAATGATCCCCCGCCAGTTGGCGTGCGCAGGTAGGCCTGCACCTGCGCGGCGCGGACGCTGCGGGCGCGCTGGCCGTGTGCCGGCGGCGCGGCGCGCTGTGTCCGCGCCTGTGGCTCGACGTCCTCGGGGCCTCGCCGCCTGCCTCAGCCCTTCCCGAGCTACTCAATGTTATAGGTACATTACTGCAAATGTAGTTATTATTATTATTTTTTATGGGGTAACCCGGTACCGAGAGATGGATTCACCTGATGGAAAGTAATCAGCGTCGCCCATGGACACCTAGAACACCAGAGCCGTTATTAGTGCGTTACCGGCCTTTTGGGGATTTGATCTCGCTCTGCTCGGCGCCTATTAATTGTAGCGTGATACTTTATAGCCATCCTCGATTAATGGGCTATCCAACACAGAAAGAATTTTTCAAATCGTACCAGTAATTTCGGAGATTAGCGCGTTCAAACAAAGAAACAAAAAAACAACACTTTATAATATTAGTATAGATTATATTTTATCAATGAATTTGGCAGAAATAAAAAAACACAGACGACATGACATATTCAGAAGATCTGTTGATTTTATTTTGGTAGCAATCACAAGGACAGAGATCAAAAACACATCATCAAAGACAAAGACACAAAACACAGAAGGCTTAAGAAATTAAAACGTAGTGTATTTCTCTAGTAATTTCTACATTTTAGTTTCTCGTTTTAATTTTGGCTTGGCGTATATACTAATATGCGCCATCTAACGCAAAATATACCATTATACGCCATCTAACGCAAAATATACTAATATACGCCATCTAACGCAAAATATGCTAATGTACGCCATCTAACGCAAAAGATCAATTGAAGCCTTTCTGTTGATGACCAAAACTCAAGACCAAAGTAACGAAACCATAAAATGCATATTCATTAATTTAGTTCAATTTTTATAACTAGATGGCGTTGCCGCGATTAAAAGCAAGCTATGGTTTCGTTACATCGACTTGCATAAGATGGTCATTTTTTGTATGTACTTAGATCGAATCAAAACGAATATATAAACCAGCAGTTCAAGCACTAAGTACGGAGTTTCAATTTAACCCCTATTAGTAGCTACAGTAGGTCAACGTTACTTCGGTAATAAACACTTTCTATGAAACTATAACATATACCATGCAAAATTACAAATTGGTGTTTTATCTCCTGGCAGTTAGTACAAGAGAAGTATTCCAATGAAAGTCTGTCATACGGAAAATTGTGTACTTGCCAACTAGTCAAATTCAATGCTTTTTTCTAACTGCCAAAAACGCCAGTTTTCTATGAACTTTGTACGAGATTGTGTATTGTGACGTCACGTTTTTTAGCGTCAAACAGTATACATATTTCTTAAAAAAATACTGGAAAAATACTAAAATTAAGTTGGTCATAAAATCGATTAATGAAAGTGATTATTTTTCAATATTTTATTGTATTGAATTGCCGAAGTAATTTATTTTTGATTAAGGAAAATACCCAAGTGGTAATCAAACTCAAAAATCTTAAGGTAGATAGCATTAAACTACGATTTAAAATAAAAATAAAGTCACAATATTTTTTTAAGAAACCATTTTTCTTGTTGGCCTATTCGCCATTTCAATAAATAGTAATTCTTATTATTATTTTGTCTGCAGCCAACGAGAAGTTACTGTCGCCTATTCTAGTGGTGGACTGTCTCGCTAGCACGCCCACATACACATTAGGAGACGTCAGGAAGTAAGTAACTCTTGGACAACCATATTTAGTATTGTGATAGACCTTTGATGTATCAATGAATAAGGTAATATTATTCTATTCTCCTATAAATAATTACTGGATGAAGATAGCTTGAACTGGCCGATCTGATAGTCAGTAGGAGAGGCGTATGTTCAGCAGTGAAACGTCTTTATTGTATTTAATAAATAACAACAGTTTGCTTCAGTTTCGTTTGGTTCTCGGATGCCGAAGTTAAATCTTAGATCTTAAGTAATAAAGCTCAAATTACATTGAAAGCTAATTGTAATATATACAAAGTCATCAGACATATGTGTATTAATGAAATATCAACCCTAGGTACTTGACAGACGTGTTAAAGTCGGAGGCGGACGTGATATCCCGCTCGCAGGAGCTGTCGGCGAAGTACCGGGCGGAGAGCGCGCGCATGAAGGAGCAGGCGCGCGCGCTGCAGGAGCGGCCCGTGGTGCTGCAGGCCAGTCGCTGCGCCGTCTGCAACAAGCCGCTCGAGCTGCCCACCATGCACTTCTTGTGTCAGCACTCCTTCCACCAGAGGTACACCTTCGACATACATACAGAACTTCACGCCTGTCTCCCATGGGGGTAGACTAGGGAACGCCAATTACTACGTTCTACATACCTCTTTCACTTCATCCAAGAGTCATCAATCTTTTCATGCATGCTCGTCGGTTAAGAGTACTTTTAATTTGGCCCTTCTTTAATATATCGCCAATCTGGTCACTATATGTCCGTCTAGCCCCATTGTAGACGGCCCCATTCATATCCGCTCTGTATATTTCTTTCGTTACTCTATTTTCATCTATCTTTTCTACATGTCCGCGTAACATTCCCTTTTCAATGTAAGCCTTCAAATCCTGCTTATAACCTCAAATATACTTACAAACCCATTTATATTTCTAATGTATCCTCCAACCATACTTATATGAATTTAAATAATGTTTGAGGGTTTCAAAGTGTTGACGGAAGTAAGGGGTTTATTTTGATTAGTAATCGCAGATTTAAATAAAGATAGCTTTAAATCTACGGTAATGCTATTAAAATAGTTTGCTGTAATTTTATATAAAATCAAATAGTCTTAAGTTGTGTTTATTTGCGAATTTTTTTTTGTATTGTTTGCTAACATAGTTTATGTTTTCGCTAAAAATTATAAGCAAAAAATGCTTAAAACTGAAAAAAAAGTTCATTTTGAAAACGTATTTGTAACGCTTTCATAACTAAATTGCTTAACTACAGCCTTTAAACGTCACGGAATATCTCTACTTTGACCGGAAAAACGTTTGAGTAATCTCTTGTTATATCGTTATGTCTACTCTCACCATCCTAAATAAGTATACTGTTCCAGCTGCTTCACGACGTACGCGGAGTCCGAGAGCGAGTGTCTGGTGTGTGCGGCGGGACGGCGCCGGCCCGACGCCGCGCCACACGCCGCCGAGGCCCTGCACGCGCGGATACATAACGAACTCGACCCGTGAGTACACTACATTCATATAATGCGCCACACGCCGCCGAGGCCCTGCACGCGCGGATACATAACGAACTCGACCCGTGAGTACACTACATTCATATAATGCGCCACACGCCGCCGAGGCCCTGCACGCGCGGATACATAACGAACTCGACCCGTGAGTACACTACATTCATATAATGCGCCACACGCCGCCGAGGCCCTGCACGCGCGGATACATAACGAACTCGACCCGTGAGTACACTACATTCATATAATGCGCCACACGCCGCCGAGGCCCTGCACGCGCGGATACATAACGAACTCGACCCGTGAGTACACTACATTCATATAATGCGCCACACGCCGCCGAGGCCCTGCACGCGCGGATACATAACGAACTCGACCCGTGAGTACACTACATTCATATAATGCGCCACACGCCGCCGAGGCCCTGCACGCGCGGATACATAACGAACTCGACCCGTGAGTACACTACATTCATATAATGCGCCACACGCCGCCGAGGCCCTGCACGCGCGGATACATAACGAACTCGACCCGTGAGTACACTACATTCATATAATGCGCCACACGCCGCCGAGGCCCTGCACGCGCGGATACATAACGAACTCGACCCGTGAGTACACTACATTCATATAATGCGCCACACGCCGCCGAGGCCCTGCACGCGCGGATACATAACGAACTCGACCCGTGAGTACACTACATTCATATAATGCGCCACACGCCGCCGAGGCCCTGCACGCGCGGATACATAACGAACTCGACCCGTGAGTACACTACATTCATATAATGCGCCACACGCCGCCGAGGCCCTGCACGCGCGGATACATAACGAACTCGACCCGTGAGTACACTACATTCATATAATGCGCCACACGCCGCCGAGGCCCTGCACGCGCGGATACATAACGAACTCGACCCGTGAGTACACTACATTCATATAATGCGCCACACGCCGCCGAGGCCCTGCACGCGCGGATACATAACGAACTCGACCCGTGAGTACACTACATTCATATAATGCGCCACACGCCGCCGAGGCCCTGCACGCGCGGATACATAACGAACTCGACCCGTGAGTACACTACATTCATATAATGCGCCACACGCCGCCGAGGCCCTGCACGCGCGGATACATAACGAACTCGACCCGTGAGTACACTACATTCATATAATGCGCCACACGCCGCCGAGGCCCTGCACGCGCGGATACATAACGAACTCGACCCGTGAGTACACTACATTCATATAATGCGCCACACGCCGCCGAGGCCCTGCACGCGCGGATACATAACGAACTCGACCCGTGAGTACACTACATTCATATAATGCGCCACACGCCGCCGAGGCCCTGCACGCGCGGATACATAACGAACTCGACCCGTGAGTACACTACATTCATATAATGCGCCACACGCCGCCGAGGCCCTGCACGCGCGGATACATAACGAACTCGACCCGTGAGTACACTACATTCATATAATGCGCCACACGCCGCCGAGGCGCTGCACGCGCGGATACATAACGAACTCGACCCGTGAGTACACTACATTCATATAATGCGCCACACGCCGCCGAGGCCCTGCACGCGCGGATACATAACGAACTCGACCCGTGAGTACACTACATTCATATAATGCGCCACACGCCGCCGAGGCCCTGCACGCGCGGATACATAACGAACTCGACCCGTGAGTACACTACATTCATATAATGCGCCACACGCCGCCGAGGCCCTGCACGCGCGGATACATAACGAACTCGACCCGTGAGTACACTACATTCATATAATGCGCCACACGCCGCCGAGGCCCTGCACGCGCGGATACTCTCTAATGTTAATAACATGTAAACTGCACTGTAACTTGTTGCAAGATGAAACAGTTGCATGCTGCGTGTGATATATAAACATAACTTCTTGTTCATAACTTCACGCTTTTTATCCCCGGAGAGGTAGGTAGAGGTGCACATTACGACACTTAATACTAGTGTAGAATGTAACACCCACTTTTCACTATTTATGTTATGAGTCCCATGTAATAGGGATTAGGGAGTGAGCCTGTTGCCATATACCGGGCTTAATTCCAGACTCCGTGCTACTACTGAGATTTTTTGAATAAGTCCAATAGTACTTTGCCCGACCCGGGAAGCGAACCCGAGACCTCTTGCCGGCAGTCGCACTTTCGACCACTCGGCCAACGAGGCAGTCACATTTATATGTTTATATATCAAACGTTTAAATTCAAAAGCTTTCAATTCGCTTGGACCAGGAAGGTACTCTTCAACATCAACACAAAAAATATTTATATACGTTAATAGATACAAATTTTGGGTCACACAAATATTGGTTCAGGAATGGAAAGTTACACAAATAGTTGCTGTTGCATGTTACGTGGCATGATTGCAACGTCTTGTGATAACAACAAATAGGAATTAGGACTGATGATTGTCCTATGTTGTTATGTTAAGAAGATGTATCATAGATCACATACAGCCTATAAATGCCCACTGCTGAGCAAAGCTTATCACACGCAGAAAGTTTGAGTATTAATCACCACGTGTACTCCTGTGTCCTGTATTTTTCTGGTAGCAGGTGAAGTTCAAGGAAGGCATTCTGCTGATGCTCCACCACATACAACTGGTCATTACATTCTCCTTAAAATGGGACTCTATTCGATTGTAGAATTTACCTATGTACAGTCCTTTAAAATAATTATTCAATACATACAATTGTTTTAAAACAAAAACATACTTCGACATCATAACTATACTATGAGTACAATTTTGTTATTATAACATTCCTACAATAAACAAACAAAATAATATTAACTTTTAAAAGTAAATAATTCTATGAGTTTTCTACCGTTTTTCTATTACACTATCTTTCTATGATCAGCTTCACTCGCACAAAATGTATATATCTCTTCAATAAATCACGATTCTGTAAGAATAACAGGATAAAAAGTAAATTATTATAGTTCTTGAAAAATGAGGTCCAATTTCAAAGGCGGAATAAGTTAAAATCGGTCTACCTATTACGAAAGTATTCAACACAAACAAACAAATATTTACACTTAATAATATTAGTAAATAGATTCCTAAACAATTTCTATTATAGCATTGTGTTCCCTAGTTTAATAGTCCATATAAATCAACGACCATTAATAATTCACTTATTTACACTCAATTGACAGTATCGAGAAGTGGTTTATACTCGAAAAATATAAAAAAAACACATTTAGAATCCGAAAAAATGGATCTCTTATCCATCATCTCCCTCGGTCTTAAAATAGCAGTGTTTTTCCTTGTATAAAATAAAACTTATAATTCTATACCAATATGTAAAATATATAAGTTTATAATTAATATGTAGTATCTAGAAGTATATAATCTATAAAAATACAGATTAAAAATGGTTGTAGCTGACGTAACGCTTCGCAACAATTCGTCGCAGTCGGTTGACGGCGCGCCGCGCGCAATCATGTGCTCTTATCGAAATCGCGTATAATTTTCAATTATTTTTCGTGATTAAATGTAGTTTAGAATAAAATTTTAAATATGTATTTATCGCTTCTAAAATCTATAACCGTGCCGCCATTTTCGTGGTGTTTCCCTAATACAGTGGATGACAGGTATGGGTGAGTGATATTGTTTTTTATTTATTATTTCTGTGTGATTATTTTCAGGTGTACCATAGTTTTGTTAGTTTTTCTTTACATTTTATGTCACGTGTGTTTATTTTTAGTATTTATCTAGATGCTAGCATTTACCTATCATAGTCTTACTTGTTTAAATAGATAGGCATTCTAGAACTGAATATCAAATATATTTTTTTTAATGTTTGTAGTAACATTGGCTGTTTTATAAAATGTTTCTAGAAAAAACTGAATTTTCATGTGTCATTGCCTTGTCTATAGCTTGTATTTAAGTTTCCGTATATGCCTGAGAATTGGAGTAGAAATTGAGTAAATTGGATAAATGGATCTCGGTTAGTCGACTTACTGACAGACAAATAGATTCTGTAACCATAGAGTTCAAATCGTAGTTACGGTCCTGATAAATTTAAATAAATATGAAATACTAGCGTCTGCGAGCAGTGCCCGCGTTCTCTTTATAGTATTCTAGACTATAATCTATCCCTGTTCCAAATTTCACCTCGATAGCGTCAGCCGTTTTAAAATGAAAAAGTAACAAACACACGAACATCCTCTCAAACGTTCGCAACTATTATATTAGTAGGATAATAAGTATTATAATTCTCTACAAATTTCGTAAGAATTGATTGAAGAAATAGATATTTGCAAATATTTAAAATTACCACTCTTTTTTTATGGCATAAGCCGGTAAACGAGCAGACGAATCACCTGATGGTAAGCAATCGGCGTCGCCCATGGGCACCTGGACCACCACAGGCGTTACAAGTGCGTTACCGGCCTTTTGGGGATTAGAAGTTTGAGGATCATTGGGATTCAAAAATTGGGAAGATTGGGGAGGGGGAGATTGAAGATTGGGGAGGAGAAACTCTGTAGTTATTATTTCGTATCTCGTTATAAATCTGAAAACACTACCTTACCTAAAAATCGTACTGGAGACATCTTAAATACTCAGTAATTTCGTGCATCGCTAGACCGGAGAACCTAACGGGTAACCGGGGCTCCGGCTCGAAGTGCAGGAGAAGGAACGGGGTGGTTTTTAGTCAGTAAGATTCTGAAGCTCCCTTCCGCCTCACCCAGGCGGGAGCAGTCATTCGATGATTTTATTCCTTAAAAAAAAGACCAATAACAGTGTTCTACAAAATGATACCATTTAAAGTAAAATTGCAATAATAGTTATTTTAACGTAATAAAAAAGGTGTGTTATTGTTAGCAACATCGATAACTTATCAGAGAGATTTACGATCGTATCGCCACGTTTATATATTAGTCGTGTTTGTAGTATTGTTAATTGATTTGTAACGATAATACTTGTATTTGCGACCTTTACATTAATGCTAATAGTATGAATGACCTTGCCTCTGAAATATTAATGAAAAAATTGGTGAAAATTTGGTATACCTGTGCCTATCCCTTGGGGGACTTACGGGGGTTATGTTAAAAACATTATAGTTTTCTTTTATTTTTTTGTTTATTCCTTAACACGGTATACGCCAATTATATTAATGAAATTAAATTACTAAAAATATTTAAAAAAAAATTAAAAAATCAAAATACGTAATATTAAAAAAGGGATATGCCCTTGGGGGACTTACGGGGGTTATGTTAAAAACATTATAGTTTTCTTTTATTTTTTTGTTTATTCCTTAACACGGTATACACCAATTACATTAATCAAATTAAATTATAAAAATATTAAAAAAAGACTTAAAATATGTAATATTAAAAAAGCGTTAAAATTAAATGACAAAATATTTAGAGTTTAGAGTTTTATGTTTAACTCTTTCAGTCACACTTTTAACTGGTTACAAATACATTTTATTTAATTATACTGAAATGCTTAAAAACCAATGCAAACAAATTTGAAGCATACTTAAAAAAATGAATTTCTCAGAAAAGGTGGTTAACTACAGTGACCATCAAGACTGAAAGAGTTAAAGTAATCTTAAAGAGTACGCGTTCGGCGCTGTGATTGGTTGCTTCATTGGCGCCGGCCAATCAGCACGCTGAACGCGTACTCGTTTCGAATATTTTAAAAGTAAATGAAACTCGTACTAAGACCTCAGAGAGATTGTTCGTGATATAACCGCAATCAAACTAAATCTCATGTCTTATTGATAACAATCAAACGCCAGAATTAATTAATATTCAATAAAATATATTTGAATTAATTCCGTAATAAAAATAAAAGCGAATCGTCCTTCAAGCAAATAGCTATTATTACAACCGTTTCATAATAGCATTTTTCACTTATAATAATAAATTATTCGTTTAAACAATATAAAATACTATCCCTCGCAGTATGAATAGACATCATAGGTGACCTACATTAAGAAAGTAACCTAATTATCTAAATCTAAACCGACTAGTGTGACTGTGAAGAAGTGTCTGCCTCGTTGGCCGAGTGGTCGCAAGTCCGAATGCCAGGGGGTCTCCGTTCGATTCCCGGGTCGGGCATATTATTACTGGGTTTTAAAAAATTCTCAGTCGTAGTAGGGAGTCTGAAATTGTGCCCGGTATATGGCAATAGGCTCACTTCCTATTACATGAGACTCAACATAAATAGTGAGAAGTGGATGTTACATTACGGCCACCGTAATGTTAAGTGCAGTAATGTGCACCTCTGCCTAACCCTTCGGGGAGCGTACGGCGCGTCGCGTTCCGCGCTCGCCTCAAGAGATTGAAGATTGGGGAGGAGAAACTCTGTAGTTATTATCTCGTATCTCGTTATAAATCTGAAAACACTGCCTTACCTAAAAATCATACTGGAGACATTTTAAATACTCAGTAATTTCGTGCATCGCTAGACCGGAGAACCTAACGGGTAACCGGGGCTCCGGCTCGACGTACGGGAGAAGGAACGGGGTGGTTTTTAGTCAGTAAGAGTCTGACACTCCCTCCCGCCTCACCCAGGCGGGAGCAGTCATTAGATGATTTTCCCCCCTTAACTCGTCGAGTACCGGTTTTGTAGACACAATTATAGAAGGTTGCGGTCACCGGTGACCGCTTGGTGTTTGACAGTTTAAAAAAGAAAAAACCCTTCGGGGATAAAAGGCGTGCTGTTATATTATTTTATCTATAAATGTTCCTTACGCCCGAATACTCAAAGGCTACTTAATATTAAACTGTACTTAAATATCGTACCATCTCTTTCATTTTACAATGAATTTATAGAGACAAATTTATACTTAATCGTGACTTAAAATTGAGTGGCCTTTCAGTATTCAGGTTATTATTATGTGCTATTATTTTCTAATAAAATATAATTATAGCCGTCATAACATCAGCTTTACTCGCCACGAATGAACGGCTGTGCAAACAACTAAAACAATACTATATTAACAGATATTCAAATAACTTTACAATATAATAGAATGCTTTGTAAACCGTTTCTATACAAGAATGATAATGTTACTTGTAAACAATATGATAGAAATGTGTAATGTACTGATGTGTGATGTAATTACGTCGACATTGTCCACCGTGATTGTATAATAACTTAATACACAAAAAGTTGGATTATCCAATTTGGTGCAGTCGTTTTCAAGATATAGTTGGATATATATGTATGTATAATCAAAGGAAATAAATACTTATTAGTACATATTCTGGTGTATGGCAATAGTGATTATAAGGGACTCAAAACATAACTTGTTAAAAAGTGGAGGTATATTTTACTATCTGCAGTGCAGGCCAGTGCAGAAAATCAGCGCCGCGTCTCGAGCTATCGCACTCGGATCACGGCAATTTAGCTGAGCAATAGGTTTTTTGCACTGTTTTTAACTATTATTTTTTGAGTTTTTTGTATTTTGTAATGGTGGAAATAAAGTCTTTGTCTTACTTTCTTTTTTCTAAAAGACGGGCGCCAGGTTACACAACGTCGCCACGACACGTGCGTGCCCAAATACCCATAGATTAACGGACGCCAATAAAACTTAGGAGCACCTATTGCCTAGGGCGCTATCTAGGTATAATCCAATCCTGCCCGTCTATAATACCGACCTCATTATACAAAATCTGTGAAACATTCATCAATGAACAGTTCTACGAGACAATGCATGCAGTTTCCGTGGCGTCGTGTTTTGGTATGCGCCACTATGTACCTCATTCCAATGTTATTGTGTACACTCATGTTTTATAAACGTGGTCCAATACAATGGTAATTGTTATGACCCACTGTCAATATACGTCTTTCAATGTATCTTCCTACTGTTTACATCGACTGTTACTGGGTTTCTAGTAGCTTAAATGCAATATAAACCTCTTTTCTTAAAAGGTAGAAAATTCACAGAAATTCATTGTTAATGAATGTGATGTAACCTAGGGATGTATGAAAGAATCATACTCGGTATTCGATTATTTCTGTTTAAGGTGAACGCACACTTATCCGCGATAAACACGAGTCGGACGAAATGAATTTTAGAATTCTCTATATGAAATCTTATGTAACCTCACGCACTTCTGATTCGGACGATTTGACGCGGATAAGTATGCGTTCACCTTTATCATTAAAAAAATAGTTGTCTTCTTGTTTGATTAGGCGCCCATCTAATATAGGGCACCCTTCAACTAAGTGGAAAGATGTCTACAAAATGACTGGTAGTGGTTGCGAAGGACTTAACATCGACTTCAGTGGCGCGCTATTGAAGAGCTATATGTCTAGCAGTGCAAAGAAACAGCCTGATGATTATCACCCGTCTGTCAGTCCGTAATGAAAATGATTTTTGTAGGAAAATATAACATATTCTCTATCTCCTTTTCCAGTTATGCGGTGGTATCAGAGTACTACGGGCGCGGTTTGTTCAACAAGGTGACGGTGGTGACTGAGAATGAGACGGTGGAGCCGCCTGCCCCGGCCGGCCCCGCGCAGCCGACCCCGCTGGCCCCTACACCTGCCCCCGCCGCCCAGCCGTATGGACCCGGCGCTGAGGCCAAACTAAGGCTACAAGAAGGACAGAGCAAGCAAAGTAAGACTTTTGATGCATTTTTTGATGTTTCAATAGAAAAATCTTTTCAAAAAATGGTTCAAATTAATAACACATCTATTAATAAAAAATAAACCTATAATATACCTTCAAGAAAAGAGCGTATTCCTTTTTAAAAGGCTGACAATGCACCCGTGACTCTTCTGGTGTTCATGGGCGGCGCTGATTGCTTACCATCAGGTGATACGTCTGCTTGCTCGTTCGCCTCCTATTCCATAAAAAATATATAAATCTTATGCGGATTATGCACATTTTAGCAAAAATCCTAAATTGATCTAAATATTTCTGACAGCGACTTCACGCGCGTTCCTTTAAAATAAAAAGTGGTCTGTGTGTTATTTCAGACCATATTCTACCCCCGTTCCAAATTCCATCCAGGCGCTTTCAACCGTTTTGGCTTGATTGAGTTATAATATACACACATAAACTCACACAAGATTTCACATCACACTAATATTATATATGTGAGAGTTTTGGCTATTGCCTCACCCACTTTTAATAAAACCCACCACCAGTATTAAAAGTGGGTGTAACTTTATACAGTTACAGTGGCCATAATGTACACCTCTGCCTACCCTTTCGGGGATAAAAGGCGTGATGTTATGTTATGTTATGTGAAAGTTTTGTTGGGATGTTTTCATGTGAAAATTCTGAACGGGTTTTGATGAAGTTTGGTGTACAAGCAGGTTATTGGCTGATTTAAGTGATAGGATATATTTTATCCCGATTCAATGCTACCATGGGTTTAACAGGAATACGCGGGCAAAGCGGGGGGTAAAATAGTAGTCAATAATATTAGTAACTTGATTACGACCGTTTGTAACTTGATTATACGCGTCCTTATACACTGTAATGTAAACGTAGTGTCATATAATCAAACTAAATGTCAAGTAAATGCCAGTATAATATGTTCGTTGAATAATTTATTTTGCGATAACGCATTGTTTTACATTTCCAACTAGTTCTTCTAAATCCACCATTAATTAATATGCGCTTATCAATGTAACGAACTCGCTATCGACACCATTATTTTAATTTCAAATATTGTAATTATGATCATTTAGAAAACTTTTATAATATGGACAAATTATTCCCTCTCTGTCACCCGTTCGTACGTTCTCATTTATTTACAATACTCGCTTTACCCGCATTACCGTGGGATATGGAGTAACAAATTTTATCCCGATCCCTTCAGCCATTACGACGTGATCGCATTTTTAATATTAGTAAGATAATTAAAGTATACGGATATCCATTAACCACCTCTTTTCTATTTTCCAGTATTCGTATCAAACGCAACGAAGCAAGTGGCGCCAAAGGGCACAACAGTAGTCCCAATGCCAGAAGGTAGAATGAGGGTCATAGAGCAACAACGCTACAGCTCGAGCTTAGAAGCTAACTTGAACAAACTCGAGCCAGTACACAAACCATCCCCCTACTCCTCTCCTATCACAGCCAAAAAGAGAATAGAAGAGAACCAGAGAAGCTTAGGAGTATCTCCTGTAGTCCAGAATAATATATCTTCTGCTATCAGCAATGGAGCAGGCAAAAATCCCTTCGAAGAAGATACTTATGATGAAACGAAGAATCCCTTTGCAGAAGAAGCCACGGAACCCACAAATCCTTTCAGTGAGGACGATGATTATGACAGTAACTACAATCCCTTCTCATGAAGCTTGGAATGACGTCACACGGGCGTTACAAGCAAAAAGACGAGGTTAGTTACGTTTACACGAAATTCTACCCCAACTCTCATAAATATGGTTGAGTTTTGAGTGGCAATGTTATGAATTTTAATTTGAACTCTAACGCATTGTGTTAAAGTTCGAAATTTAGTTTTAATCGTCTCGTGCCTCTGGATTTCGTGTGGTTTCATTCTTAATACACGTTTGTGAAACGACATATGAACGGTTATGCTAAAAAGCGTCTTTATTATGTAAGAATAAGGTCGTTTTTCCAAATACAAGTGCTACATTTTACGTCTTGAAAAAATACAACCGTTTTGTAAATAAATCAAGAAAATTTAAGTATTCAGAAGATTTCTGTTATGTTACGGGGCTAATCAATAAATAGATGTTGCAAAGAGCTAATGTAATACCTACTAATATATGAAATTCTAAAGTAATTACGCTTTACATTGCAATATTTGTCATAATATATAGGTATTCTCAATTTGACATAGGCATATACTGGTCAAAGATTTGTATAAAATTTTGTAATAAAATCGAACCGGGCATCAGCGCTCTTAGATAATCCTGAACCGTTTATATTGTAATTCTCCAACCCACCTGCCACCCATGGAGATTATGGGATCTTATGTAGACGAGACCCATAGTCCATCAGTGGACTATTACGAACTGATGTTGAATACAATATTTAACTCGAGTACCGTCATTATAGACACAATTAAAGAAGAATAGGTTGCGGTCACCGGTGTCCTCACGGTGTTTGAGAGTTTAAGTATGTATTCTATATTATTCGATACAGGGCTTAGGCCTATATAAAACGGGCATAACTTTCATTACTAGTGATTATAAAACTTATATTGCCTTTATTCACCAACCATGCTTGTGGGAGAGTCATGCTTCGGCACGAATGAGCCGTCTCGACCGGAGTGATATCACGGCCTCACAGAAAATAGACGTGAAACAACGCTTGCGTTTTATCGTTGTGTGAGTGAGATTACTGGAGGCCCACCCCGAATCCCCAACAATGCTCAAATTCTTAATCCCCAAAAGGCCGGTAACGCACTTGTAATACCTCTGGTGTTCCAGGTGTCCATGGGCGGCGCTGATTGCTTACCATCAGGTGATCCGATTGCTCGTTTACCGGCTTATCCCATCAAAAACCTCCCTAGACTATCCCCTATAAGTTACTCAGCGTCCAGTAGCACCTAAACTAACCCCCTTACTTGTATTGTCACTGTGTGAATGTCACAACGAAAATGTCACCTAATTTCACGGTTTTATCTCCTCAAGATTCTGGCTTACAAGAGTTGCACCGGTTATGGGAGGATATAGCAGGCATATATGTCACTTGTCTTGTTTCTTAAAGTATTTTTTTTTTTAAGGGGGGAAAATCATCGAATGACTGCTCCCGCCTGGGTGAGGCGGGAGGGAGTGTCAGACTCTTACTGACTAAAAACCACCCCGTTCCTTCTCCTGCACGTCGAGCCGGAGCCCCGGTTACCCGTTAGGTTCTCCGCGACTCCGAATCGGCATCGGCCCTATTGGGCCCCATCTGTGGTGGTCTGATGGCTCTTTGAGGCGCGCGCGGAACGCGATGCGCCGTACGCTCGGGTCTGTTTCTGGTCGGACGGGGAGCCACCCATGCTCGCCGTCCGCAGGCCCGCGCTTACGGTGGCCGGAGATCGTTTCTTAAAGTATAGGAGAGTTTGGTGAAAAGGGAGAATAAAGTCTTAAACAAATTGTTGAAATTGAAATTAATATCCAATAAGTTGCGCTGTCTCCTACATATATATGCAATGAAAGAAACGCGAAAGACTGCCACGGATTTTTATCATTTTATTGTATGTCAAGTAACTATGCTGAGCTGATAACGACAATATTCAATTGTTAGTTAGTTTCTTGAATGGAATTTCAACCTTATTTTTTTTAGTAATAAACTTGAAAATGCATTCAATGAAATTTCTTTACGATTTTTTTTTTATTTTAAATATGCACACTGCACAGTCATTAGTGTTCATTGATTTTTTTTAATAAGTATTAGTTAATCAAAGAACAATAAGCTTGCTAGATAAATTGTCTTATAATGTAATTATACGAGTATATATTGATATAATAAAATAATATTATAATATTTATACAATCTTATAGGTCTGATTATGTTCGTGTGTAAGTTGAGAAAATATAATAACCAATAGATTTTTCCTATATTGTTATTATTGCCATTGTTTTGTTATTTCAGTTATACGAATTCATATAACTGTAGTAGAAACTAGTCATATTTCACGATGTATTATATTATTGGAGATCGGAGTATGTAAAATTGACGGGTGAGGACGCCAGGCAGCGGTCGGTCCTCACGTCGGCCCCAACGTCACGGGACTTTCCCACATGCAAATGAACGCGCGACTTCACGCATTCATCTGAAATTAACCTTACTGTTTTCAATTATTCCAAGCCTGAAATTGTGCTTAATACATAGGATTTGAAACAACAGAAGTGCTGGTAATGAGATTGAGTAATGTTCACATTACTATTCTGGGAAAAAAAATATAAAACTTTATCTAAAATTGATGAAATGATTACTTATTTATTTATGTTCATTACTTATTCCGATCTTCTACACAAAACATATTGTAACTAGCGTCTCAAAATGTACTTGTTTAAAGCATTCCTCATTTAGAACTCAAATTGTATAATATATAATGTCTACTATAATAGAAGCTATGTAATGTATCGTTTTGTAAGCTGTATCCAATCTATATCGTAAATATGTGATAATAAATATTTAATAAGTTATTTCGTTTGTTTATTTTTTTATTTTTAGGGCGATGGCCGAGTGGTGGCAAGTGCTACTGCCGGGCAAGGGGTCTCGGGTTAGATTCCCGGGTCGGCAAAGTAAACCTGGGTTTTAAAAAAAAAATCTCAGTAGTAGCACGGAGCCTGGAAATGTGCCCGGTATATGGCAATAGGCTCACCCCCTATAACACGGGACTCATAACATAAATAGTGAAAAGTGGGTATTACTTCTGCGTGCACCTCTGTCTACTCCTTCGGAGATAAAAGGCGTGATGTTATGTTATGTTTTCCAAACGCCAGATAATTTAATCGGATAATATTTTAAACTAGCTTTTACCCGCGACTACGTCCTCGTAGGATATGATTCCTGTTTTATCCCATGGGAGTATTTAATCGGGATAAAAAGTATCCTATCATCTAAGTCAGCCCATACCCTGCCTGTATACCAAAATTTCATCAAATTCCGTTCAGTAGTTCCAGTGTGATTGACGGACAAACATCCAAACAAAGAAACTTAAAATATTAGTATAACAATTATTTTTCCTGGCATTAAATTGCAAAGATTCCTTGAGTCTTACTGTAATTTAATGTATCATCCGGTTATTGTTTGCTTTCTAATCCCCATTTATCTAAATTGATTGTATCAAGTACATAATCATTATAGCTTTCATGTATTGTCGCGGTATTCTACGCTTAAACTATAGAAAATAGAATAACGACCACCGCCGCGCGAGCTGCGAGGGGCATTTAGTCAAACAGACCGAACCCCATGTCCCCATCTTCTGATTCAGACTCCTCCTTCTTGGTCTCCTACTCTTCCTTCTTCTCCTCGGCGGCAGCAGCAGTGGGCGCATTGATTGCGGGAACATTCACAAGTTCTTCCCAATCGTTTTGAACTAAATTCGGGTGGCAAACTCGTGCAAGTTCTGGTATGCATAAATTGTGATTGTGCAACAGATAGAACTTGGCGTAGGTTCGAAATAACTAAAATAGACAAGCCTTGCTGTACCTACGTCCGTGAACTGTCTAATCTGTCTAACTCAGTGGAGCAATAAAATCGATTTTTATTCTACAAAAGCGGGCTATCAGAGCAACATAACTTACGTCGTTGCGAATCGCAGAGAGAATTGTTTAAAACGATAAATATTTCTCGGTGCCCTATATGAAAAAAAAAATGTATGTAAGGAAAAATAGGCAATTGTTTGAGAAAAGAAGCGATAGACACAATTTTAATACTAGAGGCTAAAATAAGTTAGCTATACCGCAATTCAGACTGTCCAAGATACAGAAATCCTTCATGGGGTTAAGTATTTAATAAAATACCAAGTAGCATACAGTGATCTTAATGAAGGTAACTTTAAAACATTAGGCGCGAATTATGTAATCAAGCTTACTACACACTGACAGATTATCTTGAAGATAAGAATGCTTGGCAGCATGTTGGTTCGGCTCCACTGGACAATACTCAAATGTAGTCAGTAGTTACTCAGGTTCCAATAGTAGGAGGGAACGAACCTCCACACGACCCGGCCGTCGCGAGAGACACTCCGGGCGTCGGGGATCGCGACACGATCTCCGGCCACCGTAAGCACGGGCCTGCGGACGGCGAGCACGGGTGACTCGCCGCCCGACCAGAACCAGGCCCGAGCGTACGGCGCGTCGCGTTCCGCGCGCGCCGTAGATGGGGCCACCACAGATGGGGCCTAACAGGGCTGATGCCGATACGGAGCCGCGGAAGACTTAATGGGTTGCCGGGGCTCCGGCTCGAAGTGCAGGAGTAGGAACGGGGTGGTTTTTAGTCAGAAATAGTCTGACACTCCCTCCCGCCTCACCCGGGCGGGAGAAGTCATTGGATGATTGCTGGTGCTGTTGTACGTGTCATGTTCGTGAACGGGTGCCGTCAACTGGGACTGGTCAGCTCCAGACTGTATTATTGTCCTTAAGGTTATTTTCTTTTTTGATCACTTTGACTGGATTTTAGTGTTACATTGTTCTCGCACAATCCAAACAGTAAAACTATGTAACTAGTAAATTGTATTGTGAACCTGATTGAAAAAGAGTAACCTATAGAGTTTCTTGCTCATTCTATTCTCCATAGGAATCTACGCCTTGGAATGAGCAAATAGCTTCACTTTCAATTTTTTTTTTTTACGTTCCTAAGTGCCATTCTGGCCTAATTGAAAATTATTTTGACTTTTTGGACTTTTGATTTTAACCCTCTCAAAAAAAAAGGTAATTTAATACTTTTATTCTAATAGTCTAGTTTCCTTATGGCATCGAGCATTTCTCTCTTTATTAAAACAAAGAGTTTCCTTTTTCTTGTATAGAAGCACTAGTTTATGCGTATGTGAGCACCATGCTGGACTATAAGATTTTTTGTTTGTTTTATTTTTTTTTATGTAGGTTTTGTAATTAGTGTGATGCGTCAAGCGTGTCTTTGCATTGTTCTCACATATACGTACAATATTGGAAAATGTATCAGAGACATAGTATAATTTTTTTTAAAGAAACGTTACTTTTTTAAAAACATTAATGAATGGAGTTTCTTGCTTGTTCTTCTCCATTCGAATTTACATCTTGGAATGAGCACCTAGCTTTACTGACGGACTAACTGACAGACTATTGTTTATTTTGTATTTGTTGACGTTTCAAAAGTACAACATTATGGTTTAAATGAAATAAATGCTTTGACTTTGACTTTGACCGCCGTAAGTACTACCACTATCAGTGGTGCCTTAAATTCGAAGACAATCGAGCGTTCTTGAAAGCTATCGAGAGCTCTTGATCACTGTTGAGAGTTTCTCGAAATCCATCGACCGTTCTAGACCACTTTCGAGGGTTCTTCGAAATCTGTCGAGCGGCCTCGATAACTTTCGATAGTTGCTCGAAATCTATCGAGCGTCCTCGATCACTTTCGAGAGTTGCTCGAAATCTATCGAGCGTCCTCGATCACTTTCGAGAGTTGCTCGAAATCTATCGAGCGTCCTCGATCACTTTCGAGAGTTGCTCGAAATCTATCGAGCGTCCTCGATCACTTTCGAGAGTTGCTCGAAATCTATCGAGCGTCCTCGATCACTTTCGAGAGTTGCTCGAAATCTATCGAGCGTCCTCGATCACTTTCGAGAGTTGCTCGAAATCTATCGAGCGTCCTCGATCACTTTCGAGAGTTCCTCGAAATCTATCGAGCGTCCTCGATCACTTTCGAGAGTTCCTCGAAATCTATCGGGCGTCCTCGACCACTTTCGAGAGTACCTCGAAATCTATCGAGCGTCCTCGATCACTTTCGAGAGTTCCTCGAAATCTATCGAGCGTCCTCGATCACTTTCGAGAGCTGCTCGAAATCTATCGAGCGTCCTCGATCACTTTCGAGAGTTCCTCGAAATCTATCGAGCGTCCTCGATCACTTTCGAGAGTTGCTCGAAATCTATCGAGCGTCCTCGATCACTTTCGAGAGTTGCTCGAAATCTATCGAGCGTCCTCGATCACTTTCGAGAGTTCCTCGAAATCCATCGGGCATCCTCGACCACTTTCGAGAGTTCCTCGAAATTGATCGAGCGTCCTCGATCACTTTCGAGAGTTCCTCGAAATCTATCGAGCTTCCTCGATCACTTTCGAGAGTTCCTCGAAATCTATCGAGCGTCCTCGATCACTTTCGAGAGTTCCTCGAAATCTATCGAGCATCCTCGATCACATTCGAGTGTTGCTCGAAATCTATCGAGCGTCTTCGATCACTTTCGGGACTTACTCGAAATCTATAGTGTCCTCGATCGATCATTTTCGAGAGTTTGTAGAAATCTATAGAGTAGCCTCTATCATTTTCGAGAGGAGAACCTTTGGGTGTATCGCTAGTCGATAGCTCACCACCTGACAAGTTCTGGACCTTGTTGCATATGTGGGAACTTCATTAGGAAACTTTTCAAATTTATTATTAGGGAACATTATTGTTTTCATAAATTGTTTCTAAATTGTTGTCCAATATAATTAGAAAATACATAAATACTAAAATATATTGTACCTAAGTATTTGTAAGACTGATGGCCATACTATCGTATAGGATTATTCTGTAATAGTATAAATATATTATATGTATGTATGTATGGATGCTGAAGCCCTGGCTTTGAGCAATTGTTGGAAGGTATGGGGTGGTTTTTAGTTAGTTGTAAGAATCACTTACTCAAGAGACATTTGATGACTTTTTACCGGGGCGGCATAATCGGTATTTGCAAGCGGGCTCTCGAATCGAATATCACCTTTATATGCGGACCCCATTGTAGCCTACTGCCTAACGTAATGCCTAAAAACACTGTCTCGTCGACAAATACTAACTTATACCCGTTCAAAACAACATCACAATCATTACTACGGACGTTTGGTAAATAACGTAACATAATATCACGCCTATTAAGTACAATGTAACACCCACTTTTTACTATTTATGTTATGAGTCCTATGTAATAGGGGGTGAGCCTATCGCCATAATACCGGGCACAATTTCAGACACCGTACTACTACTGAGATTTTTTTAAAAAACCCCGTCTTATTTTCCTACCCCAATCGAACCCGAGCCTTGCCCGGCAGTCGCACTTTCGACCAACGAGGCCAACGAGGCCAACGTTTGGTAAACTAATAATATATTTGATTTTTTCTCATTTAGCACTAGGTTATGGTAAACCAATTATACACTAGAAGAATGCAGGTGTTTACGTCGTCAAAGTTATTTGCACGTCGATCTATTTTAAAAATGTATGATGTATCTGCAAAAAGCACCATTCTTGGTTCATTCTTGAATATAAATGGCAAATCATTTATATAGACTAAAAAGTAAAAGGGACCTAATATTGAACCTTGAGGAACGCCCATATTCATCCCAGAGCTCTGTGAGTTGATACCATTAACATGAACTTTTACCTGTCTTTCTTTTAAATAAGATTTCATTAGACGGAGCTCGGAGTTTCTAATCCCGTAGTGATATAATTTCAGCAAAAGTGTCTCGTGGTCAACGCAATCAAATGCTTTTGAGAGGTCACAAAAGACACCAATAGCATCCTATGCGTCCTTTCAAGCACCAAATATTTTCTTCATTAAAGTGACACCGGCGTCAGTTGTGCAACGAACAACCTTTGGTGAAACCATATTGTTGTTGGTGAAAGATAGAATGTTTATAATGATGGACCATTTGAGACAGCATTAACTTTTCAAACACTTTTGGTTCTTTAGTGTCACCACTTTTAAATAGTGGGATAACTTTACTATATTTCATTAGGTCAGGGAAAACACCGTCATCTATAGTTTTATTGAAAATCTCAGCCAGATACGGCGCAACAGCTTGAATGATTGACTTGCAAACTTTTACCGATAGTCCCTAAAGATCATCAGTTGATTTGATCTTGATTTCTTTAAAAACTTTTATAATTTCTAGAGGATTCAGATGGTTCTTAAGCAAAGTTACTAGAAATTTTCGAAAATCTCAATAAATAACACTGCCTTAACCGGGAATCGAACCCAAGACCTCTTGTTCAGCAGACTAGCGATCACTTGAACAACGTGGCAGCTAGTAATGTCTAACTTAAAATATATTTTTTTCCCATCCCGGGAATTTGTACACATCTCTCGCTCGGTGATCCACGATACCCAAGTTTTCTACAACCAGTAGTAGCGTAGTAGTTTCGGTCACGCTGAATTTAACCATTCTGTAATTACAGCTTTAACTAAATTGGTACTGATGTGTAGGGTAATAAGCAGATAAAGAAAACAACGATTTGGAAATTTTCAAAGCATTTTATTTATGACCTTTAACACTGTGTATAATATATTTTGATAGTACATTTAGAGCAATGAGTAATATTACCAATCATTACATTGTTCTTATTTTCATAAATTGAATGAAATTCATAAATTATATATAGAATATATAATTTGTTCTCAATACATTCTCGCCCAACAATCAACAATCACTATCGTAATCACAAGGGCGGCGCGTGCGCACCGGTAGTGACGTCACAGCGACGCGCGCGCCGCCGCGGCACAACGACGCATACCAAATAAATAAGTCGATAAACAAACAAACGTAATCAAAACAACAGCTAGTCCTATAAAAATAGCAGTATAGCTTAAACAGTATACTCTATAAAAAAATATAATCCAGCGTCTGCTGTACATATCTCTAATTTAAAATGTCTTGTTTCCATATAATTACGATAACAACTAAAACGCGAAATAGCAAACGAAACGTCAACGTAATAAAAAAGCTTTAAATTAAAGTGTTACAGCCGCCTCGACACACCCGTGTGTACGTTCCTGCTCTCTATTCGATTACATTACTACACCATTTTGCTATGCAAAATACATTACCCTATTATTTCGAAATAAAGGAAACGAGTAATATACAAACTTTGGAATGTAAATACAAAATAAACTGACTAGAAAAGAAAGGTATTAATAACGATCATGTCATTCAACTTGAGATCTCGTTCATCCGTTACAATAGACACACCTATTGAACAATAGTTATACACAAATATCAATTTCGGTGAAGAAGTAATAAACTTGGACATAGTATTCTGTAAAGATCCTTACACAATAATAGCGTCTCGTGTTAAATAAAGCACATCGCCAAACACGAACCGGTTCGCGAAGGAAAAATAATTTTGCAACATTTGGCGTTGTGCTGTACAAACTGAAACGTAATTAATGAATAATCTCGACGACAATATTGTTATAATTTCAAGAAATATTACCTAACACACAGCATGTCTAAATTTTGATTAATACTTTTTTTGTTCTTATAGCTACGTTTATTATACGCTAAATTATTATCTGGATACTCTCTAGGTTAGCCGAATATGTCTACAGTCGTGTGTAAGCTGCTGTGACTGGACTTTTAACAGGAGAAAGCTATTTTTTTTTAATTTTCTGTAACTCATGTAAGTACCAAACGAAGTAAAATATTTACAAAGACTAACGAGTCTTAAGCTTACATGTTTATATAACTATGTATGCTCGATTTCGAATGAAAAATAGTCACCTAGAAGCGATAGTATAGTGACAATGATTATATTTTTATTTCACATTTATCAAAGCGGTAACAAGAGTAAACAATTGCTCGGACTTACGACGGTGTTGAGACAAACGTAACGGCTATAAAGGATCATCCATATAAAACTACAGTCACATTCATTATCTACCTAGGACATCGACGTCGTGTCTGTACGGTACGTGGCGTATCAGGGGAGGGAGGGAGGGAGGGACAACGGAACACAACACGTATTAACACACTAATTTGTGATTGTTCGCAGCACAGCATCGAGCTACTCTATCACATACATGTACCTACACGGTATATGACTAGAACGTACGGAATGCTCCGAACGGAATCGTCTGTAATCGAGAAATAATCGAGACGTTTCACCTGAGTAACATCACATTAACCTACTTTATACATCCCATATAAAGAATTTTGAAAGAAAACATCGTTACACAAAACAATATCAAGTTAAACGATATTACCGACTACATACTGTAGCGTAAATGATTTATAATGCATAGTCTACATTAACTACAAATATTCAATGTATTTACAATCGATACTAGAATGTGAAACGTTTACGTATGACGTCATACGAGTCCGGACTGCCGCCACCACGGGCCTTTTGAGCCACAAAATATAATTTATTCTACCGTTCGGGTCATACGTATATACAAGGTAAATTACATTATTAATGTATCCAACATTAGAAGAAAATTTATATAGTTCAGTAATTTGTCTTTTCACAAGTACAATGGTAATATTTTCTTTTAAATTCTTAGTTATATAGTCATGTTACATGATGGAGTCTATCACACATCGCCGATATTTTGTGCGCAACATATTATTGTTTTTATTGCACATGAGTTGTACGTAGACATACGCATTAACATTTGCTACGGGCTGGCCGATGGACCACGACACTTGGTTGCAATAAATGCTGTTATATTCATATTGAAGTTTATTATCGTTTGTCGTGGTCCAAGGTTGCCATTACATACAGATAAAAACAAGATGTAGTAGGCCTTGTAGACATTGAAACGGCTCTCACCTTACAGTACACAGCACGTATGTATGTATATCAGTATATATATAGTTTACCCCGTTCCTGTTATAATCAGTGCACCGGTTTGGTCCCCTCTCATTCGACCCCGCACTAAACTATAAACTTCTAAATTAATTCATCAATTTATCAGTTTTGGCACTCGAATATTTTTGGTTAAAATAAAATATCCCCACGTGTATAATATTACTTTGTAATATAAATATGAATTAAGCTACATCAAATACATTATTGTATAATTTATTAAGACACTTTTTTGTTTTAATCAAAAATATATAAGACCAATGTCAGTGCCAAAAACTAGTTCTTGTACCCAATTAGCGAATATAAATTAAATATATAATACATATATATTATATTTACGTATTATATCGTATATTGCATTAAATGCAGCTGCTTTTATAATACTGATGATATAATTATAATAAAACTTAGATATGCTAAAATAATTGATTCATTTGCATTGTCTTTCGACTTCTATGCATATTATAGTGTGGTCCCGAAATTGACGAAACAAAACTAATAATTTATAGAAATAGTTTATTACGTATAAAAAGTGTGTAAAATCTTACAAAAATTGTGATGGCCGTTTTAGAATAGTTGTTTATCGATACTATGTTAAATTAGGCGCATCACTATACAACCTTGGTATCGATTTTGGCAACTTTGAATACGGAAGAAACTATCTCGGTATATATTAATGGACCACAGTAAATAAAAGCTCTTCCTGAGCGCTCAGTGACTATAGAATGTCTATGCCTCACCAAACCAGTCACAGATAACTTTTTCGTTAGACGTTTTACTCATTTTGTTGGAATTAAACTTTACAACCATACAATTTACATCAAGATAAGTATATGTTAAACTAGCACATGATGATATTGCTGTCACTGTCACACAATTGCGTTTTACAAGCGTAAGACAGAGAAAGAAATATAGCTTAACGTAAACATACATTTATCTTGACCACAGACCAATCAATTTTTCTACATGTCGTATAATATTCTTCTTAGTAAATATATTGTTCGCAATTGTCAATACATTGCGACGATGTAGTATTATTGTTACAATCAGTCTAAAAGTACATGTTTAGTACTTTCTTTGAACTGCACTAGTTACGGGGCTAGTGTAGTCAGTCTGACTTAACATTACAATATACGATATGTAGAAAAATCGAAACTTCTGAATCGATGTGATTAAAATAGTACTTTAATAGATACAAATTGTACTTTTGCTTATTGAAAAGCACTTTAAAGTTGCTTATCTTACTACAGATGTTAGAAAGTATATCAATCCGAAATCTTTTAATAGTGATCGATTTTTGACATTACTTCCGTCAAAAACCTAGTATATTTAGAGATTTTGGATTACAATTTATGATTAAATTCGGCCGTATAATCACATCGATTCGGAAGCCATAGCAGTCGACAATTCATACAAAGATGTAATAACAATACCTATTTGTGCAGTTTAATTCCAGTCATAGAAGTATCGAACCGTTTCAATGGGCGTGCAAGGCGCGATGAGCGAGTGCGGCGTGGGAGACGCACTTAAACAACGAGGATAGACTCCATGGTGAGGTCTCAGGGCGCGGCCCCCGCCGGCGCCCGGTCCCCGCGCCGCGCCGACCTGGACCTGGCGGGGCACTTCAAGCGTGTATATTGACGAAGCCGACATTACCAGCTCGCCAGACATATGGTATAAAGGGTAGGTGAATACAATTGAATAGTTATATATATATTCTTATAGAGAAAACTGCGTAGCTGCAAAATACGCAACTTTACAGAAGGCGCAAAAACTGCAAACATTACGAGACGCTTTTGCTCCTACAGAAAACTAAATTAGATTTTATTTGTATGACAATAAAGGTCTAATTTAGTTATCTGGTAGAACAAAATTTTATAGGGTGCTCTTTTCTGTGCCTTCTGAACAGTTACATATTTTGTAGTTACCGACGTTTTTACTATAAGCCATCGGTATTTAGATTCACATGAGCTGACAACAAGTTTACTGTCTATGTTATAGTGTTATGGGATTGACATAAGTTTTTTTGTATGTCAATACCATAACATGACATGTACCAAACTTGGTGTATGCTCATGTCGATCCCATTTGTTGACAACTATTCAATTATATTCAATGAGTTTATACCATTTGTCTAGTGAGGTAGTTACACATACAACTAAGGGAACATGCTACTGGTTGAATAGTGTTTAAATATAGAACTGGCAGTTGGGGACCTATGCCATAAAGTTGACAGTAAAGGTTTTTACCTTTGGCTGTAGGGGTTGGTGCTTTTGCCTCAGTGGCAGAATGGCTTGGAGTCTTAGGCCAAAAATGGAGAGATAAGCAAAATGTGATTATTTTGTTATGGTAAGGCAATATAATTAAATACATACTTGTTTGTTTCATGCATAGATTCACTACGTTGTTCATGGAGCGGGTAGTAAAGTGTAAACGGATGGACTCACCTGATCTGGCCAGCTAGCAGGGGATTGATGGCGTACAGCCAGTCGTGGACTTCCTTGTCGCCCAGGGTCTGGAGCAAGTAGCCGCGCTCCTTGCTGACCACGCTGCAATGATAAGGTAAGACATTATTAAAGTCCAGAAAGTTTACACTAGTGCTAGCCATGAATTTTAAAGAGCCGACTTAGTAATTAAATCAGACGTATCTTACTAGCTAGTAAGAACAATGATAAATAATGCCCACCCTATAAAACCATTTGTCCTCCCTCCTATACCATCACATCATCATATCAAGCAACTCCAGTCATTTTCAATTCTAACAGGACCTTATTATTTTGTAAATAAAGTTGACATTTCGTACCTGAACGTGTTGGGCATGCGCACCATCTGTTCCTGGTCCTCCGAGTACTCGACGTGTGCGTTGGCGAGGTTAATGACCGCGCGCTCGATGGGGTCGCGCTCGTCGCGGTATATAAACACGTATGGTCGTCTCACCACCTATGTAAAGTAAATAATTTTATATTATTTTGTTAATAACGACTGTAACGAGTCAACCGAATGGTAGCTTAAGATTGGTATGATTTTATCTGCGTAGTTTTTTGAAACATCCTTCATGTATGAACAAGGTATTTATTGTCACTACCTTTGGTCTTTGCAACAATGTGGAAAACGCATAATTAGATTTTTTGTAACATTGAAACCCTTGAAAATTGTTGCAAATCATCCCATACATTTGTTCATACAAAAGTAGTCTCTAAACATTGGAAATAAGGTCTATAATGTTGTTAGCGCAGAGCGGTCACCGGTGACCGCTTGGGGATATATGGGCTAAATTATAATAACACAGAGAAACGTGACAAAACTTCACGAGTGACCATTCTTCTAGAACATATTTACAAACTAATCATTTTCCCTACAAAAAACACTAATAACATAATACTATTTTCCGACTCAACATCAAGTATGACGTACCAGCCAGCGCTTCTTCCATCCGTGCGTGCCATGTTGCAGTACGTTGAGATGTCCGCGCCGGGCCACGGCGGCCGACACCCTCACCTCCTCGCAGTCCGGCACGTACAGGGCTCCGGGCGCCGGCAGGGCTCCGAGAGCACCCAGGGCTCCCAGTTGGCCCCCGGGTCCTCCGGCCCCCGCCCACCCGGACATTGACTTCTCCAGTAAACCACGCTCAGGTGAGCATAGTCTGCTGACAACATAGTTATTTGTTAGTACAGTTGAATTCATAATTTTAAATCGGATGTTGCGGTGATACAGCCTACCTGATTTCTGCAACTACATGTGTGGGAGAGCCACGCTTCGGCACGAAAATGGGCCTGCTCGACCGGAGTGATACCACGACCTCTCAGAAAAGCGACGTGAAGCAACGCTTGCTTTGTGGTTGAGGGTTACCGGAGGCCCAATTACCCTCCCCTTCCCCAATCTCCCCAATCCCTGAATCCCCAACGATCCTCTAACTCCTTATCCCCAAAAAGCCGGTAACGCACTTGTAACACCTCTGGTGTTCCAGGTGTCCATGGGCGACGCCAATTGCTTACCATCAGGTGATCCGTATGCCCGTTTACCGACTTATGTCATAAAAAAATTAATATTCTTTTTCCGAAAGTAAAGGCCTTCAAACAGCACTAAGCATCTGGAAATCTTTGTAAAATAATACAATAGCATTTACGTTACTCTCACAAAGAGTCCATATGACCTTATATACTCGCTACTCGGCTAAAATAGTAGCATAATGAACACAAGGCAAGCCGGTTATTCAAGTTAAATAACGCACGTTGGCTTCATCACCCTAAAATTTCCTCAGTAGCCGGAGTAAACAGTAGTTATGCTGTTAAATATACGTGAGGTAAGACTATGGTATGGTACTGTATACTGACTCGAAGCTGCTGGCGCTATGTATGGAGGAGAGCAGACTGGGCGTGGAGATGTCGGCGGACACGCCCTCGTCCACGGGCGTCGCGGGGGACGCCGCCGTCTCCACCTCCTTGGCGGGCGACCCTATCCGGCCTGCGACAACAAACACGATCATTTAGAATTCACTCATTTTTTAAAGTTGGTTTAAATATATGTATAATGTTTCCTCCTTTAGTAGGCATATGTGCATACCATATAAAAGTACTGTGTGCTTTTCTGGTTATAATATTCAGAAACTGAAGAATTTTTCAGATCACACGAGCTTACGAGTAGAAGACACAAAAAAGGTAAACATTAATTCTTTATTAATAATAATTAATTATAATTACCTTGTATAAGTTTAATGTATTTAGTGGCGAGTTCCTTCTCCCGGGGCGACATGTCCCACGGCTCGTACACGGACTCGTCGCGAGCGCATTCTGCCGCCGCCTTAGCCGCCATATTATTTACCTCCTGAAATAACATATAGCTTAAACAATCACAAACCCATAAAATACTATGAAAGAAACATATCACATGTTACGACCCACATCATATATATGAAATTTGCTCGAGTCTTAGACGTGTGATTATTAATCACAAACTTGTAAAAGAGTTAGTCTCAAAATGACCCAATCACTTTATACACTCGGCACAAATTCCAGATTCATTGTATTCCAGATGCAAGTGTATTTGGTTCCCGTTAGATTTTCGACTTAATTTCACAACAATAGAGTACAAATCTATTAATAGTTAATTAGTCTTACCTTCTCCGTCTTAGTGAAGTCGTTGGGTGCGACCGTGTTCTCGTGTCCGTGGCGCAGTCTCTCGCGCAGCGCCAGCAGGTGGCGCGTGCGGCCGACTTGCTCCAGGCGGGTCATCTTCTCCAACTCCCACTGTGGACGAAATATATATATAAATATATATAGAAAAATAGATCTTATAATCAGGAGGTTAAGGTTGTAAATTAATTTTACTTTTCACCATGATTCTAATGTTTTCTTTCAACATTTTTTAGCAACAAAATTTTGTCTGAAAATCAGATTTAGATGTTTGATATTCACTCAAATCTAATTAAGAGTCTGTACCATCCCCAAATTAATTAGCTAAAGCAATCAGAAGATCTATCTAAGGTCACTCAATTTATTATTTAGCATCTGTTTTATAAACCTTCGTAATCTTCCTATTACATTCTCATGGTATTCATGGTAACCACACGACATAATTAAGTTACCTTCTTAATTTATTTATTTATTCTTTAATGTACATAATTTTTTTATGGTACATAAGGCGAACTTAATGCCATATAGCATTCTCTACCAGTCAACCTTAGGGTTTAAGTGGAAAATCTGCGAAAACTGAGGTACGGAGAAAACTTAATCCCCGATTATGAAAAATATATAACATTTGTTCATACAAAAGTAGTCTCTAAACATTAGAAATAAGGTCTATAATGGAGCAAGTGGACAGCGGGCACCGGTGACTGCTTGGGCAGTTAAACCCTAATGTAAATTAAGGAGTGAAATACTGAAGACAAATAAATTATTTTTTTTCTATATAAAAGTTACCTGATGGTCGAATATGAGTGAGTCCCCGCGCGGCCTCCAGCCGTGCAGATTTTCTTCTCCGCGCACGTACGTCCCGCTCGTGTCCAACACTCGGCGCTGGCGACGTTGGACGCCTGCATATTACAATATTATCGTACACAATCTCGCTTACTACGAACCAACGAAGATATAGACAAGGAGGTGTTCACATCCTAATAGAGTATTAAGTTTCGTAAAATTCAGAACTTAAAACTCTAACTTATTAATCATAAGTATCGTTTTAAATTAAATACGCTATTATCTGTCATAGATATGAAAAGTAAAATAGAAAAATGCTTGACAGTTTGCCTATGTAAAGTCGCAGAGATGCCTATTTAAATTATGAACAATTTTTTAAAATAATATAATTTTCACAGTATCATTCAAATAAAAAGTCATAGGTCTTTCTATCTTATTAGCTCCGAAGTTAACAGAAACGATAAATTTATTCTAAAATGTTTCCATACCTGGCTCAAGAGCTCTGTGTAGACTAAGTTCATAGACTCCAGTGATGTGGTCAGCTCGTGCGGCCCGGGAACCGAACAGTGCACGTCGCAGTGACCTGCCCGTGCGAGCCTCGCGCCCCACTACCACCAGGGACAGGTCCTTTGTGATTATTGCTGGCCTGCTGCAGTTATCCACCTAAGTAGACAAATGGATGAAGGTTTTATTGAAATGTTATTTAACTGTACAATGTAACATTTGTTTATTTCAGATCACGCTCTGTTCATATTAATTTAACGTTTCATGAGTGTTTTGTGATATAAAAATGTTTGCGCATGTTGCGCAACTGTTGCGCTTAACAATAAAACTTTGCGCAATTATAATAACTGTATTATTTTGACTTTTCTTCTTCTTTTATGTGTATCTTAGTTGTAAGTAATCGGTAATATGATCTTATTACGATGTTTTATAGAATAACCATAATTATTTTAAAAGATTTCAGTTTTAAATAAATATTTCAAACGGATATGAGTGTTTTATTCAAAAATATTCACTTTGAATGACAAAGTATTTTATATTAACTGTAACTGACCTCCAAGTAAGCGCTGAGCGTGATGTAGACGACCTCTCCATTTGCGCTGACCCTATTCAACAGGGGAGATCCGTGCAAGCTACTGTCCCAGGCGGCTTCGAACCTGTTACATACACAAAATTATACTTTTAATAAACATATCTCGGAAAATAATGGAATATACTTACGAGAACCTAAGAAGGACACTTAAAAATATAGTGTAACTACCGCCCCGGCTTTGCACGGGTGCAATACGCATGTATTATACATATAAAACTTTCTTAAAAATTACTATTAAACTGTCAAACACCAAGCGGTCACCGGTGACCGCAACCTTCTTCAATATTGTTCTATAATTGTGTCTATAATGACGGTACTATACGAGTTAAAAAACCAGATCAAAATCCGTTGCGTAATTTTAAAGATCTAAGCATACATAGGGACATATGACTGCGGAAAGCGACTTTGTTTTATACTATGTAGTGGTTTACAATCTCAATTTAAGGTAATGTCATGAAAGAAAATCAGGTAAAATTATAATTCACATTAAAAATGTGATTCAGTTCATTTTCAAATATGAATAGATTAAATCATTATTTCCTATTTGATCACAAAAAGCCTGTACCATCCATAAAAGACAGCCAAAGTAATCAATCCACAAGCTATATAAAAATATCAAGGTATTTCCAAATTATCTTACCTGAATACAGCCCTGTCATCAAGCGTAGGCCTCTCTCCAGGGAATAGTCCGAGAGACAGAGCGCCGTCCTCGTCGCCATCTGTCGTGTCTTCATTCGCCTCGGGGGAGTTGCGGATACGACCTGCGATATATTACATCGTATTATAAAATCTTAATTAAATTAGAAAAGTTTTGCAGATTCAATACAACTATCTCATCAACTTCAAGGGTCCCGTTTGTTATTCAGGCCAGGACAAGAGCTACAAAGCTTATTTTCCTTTTTTATGGCGTAGGGCGGCAATTGAAATAAACGGATCACCTCATGGTAAGCAATCCACGCCGCCCATGGACACTCGCAGTATTAGAATAAGTTAATAGTAATAAGTTTGCCGACCTTAATTTTCATTGCAATGTCAAAATTACGGAGAAAAAAATGTTACAAAAACCCAGAAAGATATACAAACAGATACATACCGACGACAAGTTCCCTGACATCAGTCCACTGCAGGTCCTGCGAGGGTTCGTGTAGTATAGTGATACGGATACGGCGCTGGATGCCCTGGTGCAGCAGGAACAGGCCGCGACATGGGAGCTCGTCTGAGTGCTCCACCACCTGTAGCAATATAAATAGGTTAATAAGGTTAGATTATAAAATGTTCTTTGTAAGAAAATACATATCAATAATAATAAAGTAATAGAATAAGATGTGAATACATGTTATGTACTGCAGTAGAAGTTTAACTTTCGAACGAAACATTTTAATAATGTAGTGTTGCAACCCCGGGTCACAGAATAAAAAAGTCCAGAAGGTGTATTCTTTTTAAGTAAACACACGAATTTGAACCTAATAACAACAGTGGTAAGATTTACAATAACGTTCAACTTGTCAGTTGTTGCATAATGAATGTGAGCCCCTAGCATGGCTTACAACTAGTCGATTGATCTCGACATACAGAGGCCTTAGTACGGGTTTGTTTCACGTTTAAAGTAAATGAAACGAGTACGTGTTCGGCGCTCTGATTGGCCGGCTCCAATGAACTAACCAATCGGAGCGACGAAGGCTTTCTCGTTTCGATTATTTTTAACGTAAAACTACGGCCTCAGTTACTTGTACGCAAGTCATTAAATAGAAGAATATGAGACTCACAGCGGGCACGTACTCCCCGTTGGGCGCGAGCTCGCAGATCTCGAACCAGACGAGCAGGTCGTGCTTGGAGTGCAGGTGCGAGCTGCAGCAGGGCGCCGCCACGGCGGCCGCGCCCCACTTGGGGCTCCGCACCGGCGCGGAGATCGGGATCGACGGCGGCAGCATGCGCCGCGGGGGCGTGCGCCCGCCCACGCCGCCCACGCCGCCGTCTTGCTTCGCGTCCTGGGAAATGGTTGGTGATACAAAGATAGACTTGGGAAAAAGCTTGGCGAAAAGTTGTCTAGATCTTAGCGACATTTCGAAGGAACTGTCTTGAAGATATTCTCAAGACTGTTACTTTTTAGTCAAGTCAAGACAGTTAATTGTTAAACTAATACCAGTTATGTTGTTTGCCAAAAAGTTACATAAAACACCTAAGTTATAGGGAGACTGCAAAGCTGTTACATATCTTGTTGAATGCAGTATAATAACATCTATAACTTTCTACCAATCTTAAAATTGGTCCTTCTTGACAAAAATCCGACTCGAAGGACCAAAAAGGTAATTTTAAATAACGAACATTCTTAAATAATATACAAACATGAAATACCACAATTAAGTTTTAAAAGCAAATACTTTTAAATAGCATATTACCACAACATTATAAACGAGAGCGTTACGTACAATAGAGCTTACCTTGTGCAGCGGGTGTTGTTGGTAGTGTCCGAATACTTCGAACACGATCGGCTGCGTCTTTATGTACTCCACGAACGACTTAGTCACTGGTACTGTGATCTGTGTTGAAATAAAATGTTTGGTAAATAATTACATAAATTATAAAAAATATAATAATACGAGGGATATGATCAATAACAATTTTATCTCTTTGTTCTGCACAGTTGGCGCTGTGGTTGGGCAACTGGCTGCCGCGCAACATGTCGCGGGTTCGATACCCGCACCGATCAACTCTTTGTGTGATTGTTGTTATGGGTCTAGGTGTCATGTGTATGTGAACTTGTATGTTTGTAAACGCACCCACGACACAGGAGGAAATCTTAGCATGAGGTAACGTTTTTATTAAATTATATGGAAGTTAAAAATATCAATATAGAATAATTCTATGCTGTTAATAAAAAATGTATCTCCTCCTTTTTATTTGCTTACTTCCTGTACCAAGACGAACAGAACTATTTACATCCCTGTGATTATGAACTATGTCACAGGTAACTTACATTTTGCACATGGTAGAATCCTAGCGGTGTGTTCTTGCCCGCATTTTTGACGGGCTCTGTCGAGAATGCGTCTTCATTGCGATGTAGGAAGCTGTAAAAAGAACAATCATGTAACTACCCATATAGTTAGAAAAAGATATTGTAAGAAAATTGAATGATAATTTGTGCTAGAAGTCAGGTTCAAGGCTTTTACGAAAAATAGTCCTTAATAAATACTTAGACTTCTTGTAGAATTTACCCTACGTAACATAGCACTCATAGATACACAATACACCTTTGTTATTGCCGTATTACATAATTCTATAAAATTTCTAGACCAATAAATAACTCACTTGAACTGGCAGAACACATCAGCGTAGTCAGTGGACACACTGTGCGCCTGCAGTACGGTGACTCGGAAGGTGAACTCCTTGCCCAGCGTCAGGTGCTCCGGCAGGTCCTCCTCCTTCAGCTCCGAGGCCAGGGAGCTGTCTCCGCGACCACTGTCCGCGTCACACTCACCCATTGCTAGTTCTGTACGGGAAAAGATTATAGTAAGAAAAAAAGAGCAGTCTATTAGCTATATTTATGCCTTGTCGTGTTTTAATGTGTACGATAGGTTCAAAAAAAGATAATTTTGACTAAAATCATTTAAATATTTTCTTCCTTTGATTTTCAAAATACGTTTCAGTGGATATTTCAATGATGAGGATTCATATCTTCAAAATCGGTTTCTAGATTTGTGGAAACTCCATTTTTTATCATGATATACTACCTCTCTAAAGTTCGAGTAGACAGAGACAATCAAGGTACATACACATCACAATACATCTTTGTGTAACCTACCTTCAATTTTAATGTTGGAATCAGGCACATCGTTAATGCGCTCGTCGAGGTTAATCGCGTTGTTCTTGTCGACAGCAGAGAGCTTGGTGCGACGGGCCGGGGCCACGTCGTCGTCGAACGATATCTTCGCAGACTGCTTCACGCCGGCTGCGAATTCTGCATTGTCTACAAAATCGTTTGCCATACTTCAGAATAGAGAAAGAGTGAGATAGAGATAGAGTTTTAGGTAGAAGTTTAGACAGTGTAGATGAAGCAATTGTTCTAGATTAGACAGTTTAGAAAGAAGAATAGAGGTATGTGAAAAAGAATTGATAAGAAGAGATTAAACGATTCAACATCATTCATTTTTCAATTTAGTAAGATTGCGTTGTTGATATATTTTCTTGCATAGTAACAAAAATAAACTAAGCGGAATCATATACGTATGTATTGGTATGCAAGATATTTTGTTAAACTTAAAACTCTTTTGTCTGTTAAAAAAAATAATTTATTCGGCAGTAGGCGCGCACACAGATACAAAGATAAGTAAAAAATACTGATACTTACATAATAAAATAATAATAATACATTTAAAAGAGCAAAGACAAGAACAAAGTGTAACAAAAAAAGTGACAAAATAAAAATATAAAACAAATTAAATAATAACAAAAACAAGATAGAAAAAATATTTGATTGCGCGTACCCACACCAAAAGGACCTCCATCTCAGCATTGAATTTATTTGTTAAAGATAACATAATGAGTATGAAGCTGACCATTCAGTGGTATAGATTTTTTTTTTTATTCTCTTATATTTGGTGAGGGGTTTTTATCCACATGGATATGTCAACCCGATTGTAACTTATACACTATTTTCATAAAATTATTAAACACCTATTATTAACACTTTTCGTACTTAACTATGCTTTTGCCTATACGAAGGGGAATTATTGCCTAGAACTCTTTATTAGGGTAGAAATAATGCATTTAGACATGTTTGATTTAGGGTGAGCTAAAATATTTTGCATAAGTCCAACATCCCACAGGTTTAGTTTAAATTCTCTAGCCAAGGATTCCCTCTCATTCTTGTTCCTTTCACATTCCATCAGTAAATGCTGCACATCTTCAATTTTATGACATATCTCACAGTTAGGCGATGAAACTTTCCTCATTAAGAAGGCAAACTTTGCCGATGGATAGTGGCCAGAGCGAAGTCTTAACGCTAACTTAACATAATTCCTGGGTAAGTTTTTATCATCAAACCAAGGTCCACGAGGGGGTACATTTTGTATGACTTTATACCAGATGCCTTTATCTTTAGAAATTTCATTGAAGTGGCTTATCCATTTATCAAAACATATATTCTGGAACCTAGAAAAATATTCCCAGTAATCTGGCACATACATGGTATCATTTTCCATCTCAACTGCCATTTTGGATAATTGGTCAGCCTCTTCGTTGCCTCTTAAGCCCAAGTGTGCAGTGGTATAGATAAAGCAACATAATTTTTCATATAAAATGAATAAAATTGCTCAAAATCTTATACTCAAATACTCACTCTTTTCAGCGTCGATAACAGCCTGCACGGCCACTCGAAGGTAGCCCTTGACGTCTCCTTTCTCATTCACGATGGCCACTTTGTGAATGAGAGGAACCGGGTACAGCAGGTTCGATAGGTATACGAAGCTCCTGTTATTTAGACAAGACAATAGAATTAGTTAAGGTTTTAATTTCAATTTCAAAAGTTAGTCAGTAGGACAGATATGACTGAAGGACTACAATAACAAAATAGGTCATAGAAAAGAGTTTCTTAAGGCCGAATACTGAAAAGCGCAATCAATTTTAAGTTGTATTTAAATATCGTGCCATCCCTGTCATTTTATAAAGAATTTGTAGCGACAGAACTATACTTAGGCGCGACTTAAAATGGCGTTCGAGTATTTGAACATTAATTTATTATTTTGACAAGACATAACCTCTTTATGTGGTTCCAAGGACCAGATTTATAAATTAAGTGTTCTAACATTCACTTTGTTATTTGTTATTGAAAATTGTCCATTTAGGTAACTGCTATCATTGGCAATCAAAATAAAACCATTTTGTTTACAATTAAACAACTAAACATGGATCATTTAATTTCTAGGTGTATTAAAAAAAAACTCGTGTTTATTAACTCTCTGAATTGAATCCTATTTAATGGCTAACGCTATTTTATTTACCAATAACAACTTTATTTACCAATAACAACAATAACTCACCGTCCCACTAGACGGAACCACGGGAATCTGTCGTAGAAGGGGTCTCCACCGGTAACCGACTCAATGTTATGGTCAGGTGAGGTCGGAGACAGCTCGGCTTCATTGTGGTACATCTCACGCATCAGCTCCAGACGTTGCCTGGTAAATTAATAAGAGAAATTAGACTTAAATACTATTGTATTAAGTTTGCAATTTACATGAGTGATTGGAGGTAATTATTACCTTTTTGGAAAGGTTTAATAGCAGTTTTTAGCCATACATAAGCTACAAAGCAAATATTGTTCAACGAAGTTGTTGTCAAAAAGTACCTTCTTTGACAAAGAAATATCAGCACAATTAAAAATTAAAGAGTATTTGCTTTCATTAAAAGCAATGCTAGTTCAATGCTGTTAAAATAAGAATAGCGAAGAACAATTACAATAGGATTCTAAATTATAAAATACCATCTGTAAAATGCACATAGACCACTTTCGACCAATGTAGACTTCAAAAAGCGTTACGTCTGTGGCCTGCTCGTACAGTACAATATTATTGATAGAAGTTAAGAACTTATAGCTTTATAAATAGAAATAACACTTTATGAAGCCAATAAGATTAATCTGCTTTCTTATATACCATTGTCATAACTATCTTAAAATAATACATGCAACATCTTACATCTACATACAAATAAAGCACAATCGGAAAGATAACAATGCCAAGTTGCGGAATCTAAGAGGACTATTATTTTAGCAACACATATTGTGCCACTATCGACTACAGCGCCACCACAGCTGGATTCAATTTGACTACTTTACAGCATATTGCAAGCTTAACGTTAAATGCTCAATAATGTAATTTATGTCCTTGATAATTAGATTTAGTCCTTTGAGGAAAAAAGGACCAATTTTTTTTCTTGGGCTAATTTGTATCATGAAATTGTGGTCATGTTTTACGAGGCTTTTTATGGAGGGGGAAAAACATCAAATGACTTCTCTCGCCCGGGTGAGGCCCGTGTCAGACTGTTACTGACTAAACACCCCGTTCCTACTCCTGCACTTCGACCCGTAGCTCCGGCAACCCATTAAGTCCTCCGCGGTTCCGTATCGACATCAGCCCTTTTGGGCCCCCATGTGTATTGGTCTGATAGCTCTTTGAGGCGCGCGCAGAACGCGACGCACTGTACGCTCTGGTTCTCGCCGTCCGCAGTGCTTACGGTGGTTACGAGGCTAACTAGAGCTTTTTTACAATACGTAAATTTTCAGATTTTCCTTATGCCTTTGATTGCCAATAGAAAATTGTTGAAGGCAAATTCTGCGCTAACGTCGGTCACCGGTGACCCCCGCGGCGTTTAATGTGTTAATGTACTACGTTCATGCACTCGTAAAATAATCCCACAATTGTTTTGTATTGTATATAAAAATATTGTATATGCAGTACCTAATCCAAGAAAGAAAACAACACCACCTTCAGTCTACACATTCATACGAATTTTGAACCTAATTTACAGTTAATATTTAGGTAAAAGAAGTAAACATTGTATTTATTATATTCTAAGAAAAAATACCAGAACAATTATATAAACATTTAATATTTTTTTACTAACGATACATAGACCTATTTTTTACTCGAAATTTAATTTCCTCATTAAATTTGTAGAATGTCTTCGTTTTCTAATAAGTCTCGTACCGCTCAAATAATATAATAAGCTTTTATACTTTTAGGCATTCCAATGCGTGTCAGCCTCAACACTGTTTTGGTGCGTACTCATTACTTGCTCAATAAGAGAAAAATAATCAAGCGACATGAAATACTTTTCCGCAACAATATTGTACAAGTAAGTGCCCACGTTACAATGAAAGTTTCTTATTACTGAAGGTAAACAGCATTCTATCTACTCCAATCTCAAAAATTTCTCTCCTAGACTTGCAACTTTGATAATTTTGAAATAAGGTCGAAAATCAATTAGATTGGAGTAAATAGATTTCCTAGCTTATTTGAAAAACACATGAATAAAAGGCAACATTTTGGAAACTAAGCCTTAAGCTTATACACATGGATTCTAATACGTCAATTGATCTGTTCGTGTATAATACATTGCAAGCTAAATAGTGCGCATGATACACTGTCTTCTGTGATCGATGCCCGTGCGCAACCTACTGTCCTAAGCTTGTGTCTGCGTCTCTGGACTGTCTGTCCTTATAAGCACATCTTGATAAAGTATAGCGATATATGAAATGCTGTAGGATAATAAACATTATTTTACAGTCAGCCATTTCCATGTTTCGTTTTACTAAGAAATTTACAATACACTTTGTAGTATGATAAAGAGATCGCTATAATAAATCTGGACGTGGAGCCTGTGCGTGTCGCCGGTCACAAACCTGGAGGGCAGCAGGTTGGCTAGCGACAGGCGCGTCTGTTGCGCGCACGCAGAGATACAGTGCAGTATGTCGGGGGGCGGCGCCCCGGCCACGCCCCCGGCCGCGCCCCCGGCCGCGCCCCCGACGTGCGGCGGCGGCGCCAGCACTAGCGGGGGCGCCTCGTCCTCGGCACAAGCGCTCTCGTTCATGTTGTATATCTGTCGCATGAGCTCCAGCCGATGGCTACGGACAATACACCCATGTAGCCCGCTGCCCTACCGACCCTACGTACTTAACTCACTGCGACCTATTCGCAAACTGAGAGGCAATGCCCTCTGTATCTCCATTCAACATCAGCTCCCTGTATCGACGTCTAAATTGTAAAAACTAGACAAAATCTAAGACAATATCTCTAGGTATATAAATATATATAAAAAAATCGGTCCTTCTACACTAATCTCGTAAGGAGTAGGCATGCCCTCTCATTTTGATCGAGCAAATGATCAGAACTTCATTATCATAATTAGAAAAATGTGAAAAAATATTGTAGTAAGGTGTAATTATAAAGAGAAAAGTGTATAGTGTGGTCCGTAATGAATTCCTTTCATTTGCTTAAGTTATAATTTCATAAAAAAATGAGGGAATCTATTAAAACATTATATATAAATAGCACGTTAGAATGTAAAATAAAATAAAAAAGCAGCAAATAAAACAAGCTCTATAATAAATAGAATAGACATTGCAACTATACATTTAGACCTATTATAAGAAAGTGTACTTACCGCCCACTATGTACAATGTCTATAGCACAGAGTATATAATCGATCATATTCTCGAAATATAAGATATATAATAACATATATAAGGTTATCCTCCACACGGCACCAGCAAAATACATATTTTTTGACGATAAACAAATACGGACGAAAGGACCAAAAAACAAAAAGCAACAAAATTAACGAAATAATGAATGTGTTTTCATAACATACATATTTTTGGTAATAGAACATAAATAAGAGAGAACTAAAATAATAACATCGAGAAGAATGATTGTAAGAAAGACTTTAATAATATATATATCTATTTCAAATTGAAAAAATAATAGTGTGTCAACTTAAATTATATATTATAATAGAACCTATAATAAAACTGTGCCTACAACCGCCTGTAAAATTATATACAACGTAAAATAAACCCTAATACATAAAAAAGACGGTACATTTTATGTTGAGACTATCCTATAACCTTCACCTATCATCTCACACATAGGTGCCAAAGAAATATAGGTCTTATTACACAAAAAATACATCCCAATATCCCTAAAATCACTTACCGTAGCTTTTCAAGTGTCCAATAATGAGTGGCGCCATTCTTGGTGTCAGTGACCTCGACGGCTACAACAGTAGGTGCCGAGGGTCTGTACTCGTCATCGGCATCGTCGCGGGGAGCCAGCTCGGCCGGCAGGGGAGAGTACGGAGTGTCCGTCAGCAATGTGAACTGGAACTGAACTTTCTTGCGAAGCTCCACTGAGATCGCGTTCGCTTCCTGTAGAGAGGTATTTTGGTTTGAATGGCGCTGGTGTCGCTTTTAGTCTTTAGGGGGTTATTTTTTTCTTGTTTATGAATATTTGTTAGTTACAGTAAAAAAAAGTTAAAGTAAAAGAGAGTTTTCTGTCCTATTTATTATTGCGAATCCCAACCAAATCTTTGTAAAGTTGTAAAGTATTTTGGCCTTCCTAATAATCTTAATTCTCACAATGATCCTTTTTACTTATATTTCAAAGGCCTTTATTTATACAGTGTGTTAAGTTAAACGAGGGACTTATTGAGGGAGGGTATTCAGTATTCGATTCTCGTTCCGAATATGTAAAAAACCTATAACCAAAATTTTTGAGGTAATTGTCTAATAAAATACATCATCATCAACACTGAGCGCGCAACAAGTGAACTTGTAAACAGAAACAGTACTTACATAAAGTAACTGGCGTTGCAAATCATGCGCCGATCTTGCCAAAAAGAATAGAGCGCGCTTAAGCCCGCTAAGCCGAAACCCGTAAGCGTAAGCGGAAGCGTTTTTATGGTTCTGTCTGTTATTTATTAGTGTTTTCGTTTCGTTTATATGTTTGTTAGGTTCATGTGAGTATACACTATTATGGGTTTGAATATGTCCCTCGTTTAACCTAACATACTGTATATTATTACCTTGAGGAAGATAGCATTTCCCCACAAATCGTCACGTAGGGATGTGAACTGATGATATTTCCACTTGCGGAATGCCCAGGCGGCCAGGCCGACCTCGCGCGCCGACCAGCACTCCGTCTCGAATAACGGGTTCACTACACAATATAAATAGTACATACATGTCAAATATGCGATTGACGATTTTGATTATTATTGAAAATGTAAATAATAATATGAACTATGTCTACGACTTAATTTAATCGATTTCAAATTCACTTTAACAAAAGAAGGTTCATTCGTAGGAAAATTATTATTATTTATTTTATTTTTGGATGCCCATATTGACAATCACTATCATTTACTAGCAACTTGCGCACGGTTTCACCCGCTCTGCTCGGCTCCTATTGGTCGTAGTGAGATGTTTTATAGCCTATAGCCTTCCTCGATAAATGGACTATCCAGCACAAAAAGAATTATTCAATTCGAATCAATAGTTTCGGAGATTAGCGCGTTCAAACAAACAAACAAAAAAAACAAACTCTTCAGCTTTATAATATTAGTATAGATTTTGCAACTTTTGAGTAAGTAGTATTGAACTTTCCTGATATTTATACAAACAGTTAGTAGTCAGGTTACATTTTAGCATCATGTGGTATCCTACTTAAGAGCAGGGCACAAGAAACTTTGTTCAGCAATAAAGACCATTGTTAGTTACAAGCTTTACTTGACTTACCAAATATATCTTCATCATTATGGAAGTCCTCAGGAGTGTAGGAGCTGTACATGGACATGGTGACGCTCTGCTCCTCCACCTGACGCTGTAGAGCGTCGATACGGGCCTCGTAGTTCTAGAACAATCCAGAATATGAATAAAGAAAACTTACTCATTTTGAAATAAATACGATAAGTATGAAATTATATCTGGCTATGGGTGGTGTAATGATACGTTGTCAGTATTATTTTAATAAGATTGATAAAAATTGGCGATCAAAAACCTCTGGTAAAGGAAGTAGACAAGTCATATTTCACTTTTATTAGTACAAAATCACATTTCCCTTTAAAGAATGAATATTAAAGCTATAGAAAATGTCCTCAATATTTTGTATTATATTCACTGGCGCTAGTGTAGCTTAAAACCTCCTACAACATAAACCATACCTTGCGCTGTTCTTCAAACTGCTGGTCAGCGTGTTCCTTCTCTCTACGGAACTGTTCCTCGAGTGCCAGCAGACGTTTCTGCATTTCTGCCTTCAGGTCTATGCCTTGCTTCTCCAGCAACTCGCACTGCGCATAGTCCCAGTCCACGTTCTTACCGTCCGCGTCTGTACTACCAGCTGGATGAGGAAAATATAAGTTTTGTTTTATTATTGGTACGGAGTAAATTGTTGAGTGCAGATAAAGAGCAGGATAATATTTTGTTGTTTTGCCGTGAGTAAGGTTTATAGCCCTCTAAACTGTCAAACACCGCGAGGACACCGGTGACCGCAACTTATTGTTTTTTAATTTTGTCTATAATGACGGTACTCGACGAGTTAATGTGGTACTTACAGACCTTACTTTTTTTATTACAACCCATAAATCGTAAGTGGTTAAAATCCCCGCTTCTCATGCATGAGAGTGCAGGTTCGAAACCTACTAACAGCAAGTACCAATGTGACTTTTCACGAGTTATATTATATACTCTCTAAGGTTATTTAGAAACCACTGACAAAAGGTGAAGGCGACCATAATGAAACAACCTGGGCTTATATACTAATTATAAGTTTGAAGGCGCCAACCCGCACTGAGCAAGCGCGGTGATTAATGCTTCTCCGTGTAAGAAGAGGCTTAGCTCAGCAGTGGACAATTATAGACAGTTGATGATAAGTAATAACCCATTAAAAATGGTCTAAAATTATAACCAAGTTTTTTTAAGTAACATACATATATACATTACTTCACGCCTATCTCCCATGGGGGTAGGCAGAGACTTATAGAACGCCAATTACTACGTCTCCTACATACCTCTTTCGCTCCATCAACAGTCATCAATCTTTTCATGCATGCTCGTCGGTTAAGGGTACTTTTAATTTGGCCCTTCTTTAATATATCGCCAATCTGGTCACTACATGTCCGTCTAGGGCGCCCTCTACCGACGGCCCCATTCATATCCGCTCTGTATACTTCTTTCGTTACTCTACTTTCATCCATCCTTTCTAAGTAACATTGTCGAAGATCTACCTATACGTATTTGGCGTTTATGTTGTAAGAAGTAATTTAAATAGTGTTATGGCTTCATTATCTTATACCAAACTGTGTATCACATCATAAAGGTTAGTATACGGACTGCACGGTTGGCGTGGTGGCTGGGCAACTGGCAGCTGCGCAACGTGTCGCGGGTTTGATTCCCGCACGGAACAACTCTTTGTGTGATCCACAGATTGTTGTTCTGGGTCTGGGTGTCATTGTGTATGTGAACTTGTATGTTTGTAAACGCACCCACGACACAGGAGAAAACCCTAGAGTGGGGCAACGTTTAAAAAAAAAAAAAGAATAAAAAAGTATTCTCACAGTCGCTCTCGGTGTAGCTGGTAGTGAGTTCCTTGTTCTCCTTGTTGACTGGATCCTCGCGCGGCTGTCCAGGGTGCGTGAACCGGAACACGTGGTTCTTGCCCAGGATCACGCGGGATCCGGACTTCAGGATCACTGGCTCCGTTAGCTGGGATATGCGTTGTATTAACATTGTGTTTCTGGGTAAGTGACTATAGTCCTTACTATAATGACAATAAGGGATGTTTTGGTAAACTGCCTTGATTTGTTTTAGAACTATGCCTTAGATGACATTATCTAATGAATCAGAATCTCTGCACGACTAGTGTCGAGTTACATTTTGGAGATTTAAATATCTATAGTCTGTAGTGCATACCTTAACAGTGAATTAGTGTCACATAGAAAGGATTTGGGCAGCATAACTCAATAATTTGTACTGTACCTTCATTATTAAATTTCATAATAACATAACATCACGCCTTTTATCACATTATGCCACTGTACAATGTAACACCTACTTTTCACTATTTATGTTATGAGTCCCATGTAATTGGGGGTGAGCCTATTGCCATATACCGGGCACAATTCCAGACTCCATGCTACTACCGAGATTTTTTTTAAAAACCCATTAATACTTTGCCTGACCCGGGAATCGAACCCGAGACTCCTTGCCCAGCAGTCGCACTTGCAACCACTCGGCCAATGAGGCAGTCTCATTGTATCATAAAAATATTGATCAAATAACTAGAAATATTTACAAAATTGCAAAATATGTACTAACTAAAATCTACCTTTAAAATGATCATGAACTTATTACCTCGCGTCCATTAACATAGATGAGCGCATCTCGATGTGGGATGAGCAGTATAACTCCGTCAGTGTTCTCGAAGATACAATGCTCGCTCAGTATGTGGGAGCCGGACAACTGGATGTCTTGCGGGACGTTAGCTTCGGATGTACCCACACGGGTCACACCTAGGGTGAAAGAAAGATGGTTAATTTATTTTTCCAGAAATGAGTCTATGTATTAATTTTCGTAGTCTTTTTAAGTGATTGCTAGAGTTTTACGGTTCATTGGGACAGACTTGGTACCCTTTGATCCCTGCAAGTCAAAATATAGGATAAAGATACAAACAGAGTAGTACCAATAAAATAAGTATTGATTCGTCTCAGAGATAAAAGTTATCATTTTGATGTACAGAAAAATATAACTATAAACATAACAGGTTCTACTAGTAAGTTAACCTCTGTTTTGTGTCTCTAATCCAATAGATGAATGTGTGGGAGAGTCATACTTCGGCACGAATGGGCCAGCTCGACCGGAATAAGACCACGGCCTCAGAGAAAACCGACGTAACACTTTTGCAATGTTTCGTCATGTGAGTGAGGTTACCGGATCCCTAAACTCCTGACAATCCTCAAATTCCTAATCCCCAAAACGTCGGTATCGCACTTGTAACGGCTTTGGTGTTCCGGGTGTCCAGGTGGTGACGCCGATTGCTTACCATCAGGTGATCCGTCTGCTCGGTTCTCTACCAGCTTATCCCATACAAAATTTAATAGTTATGTCAATACTAATCACATCCTAGCCATCGCGATACAAGTCAATAGAAAATACATTGTCTGGCTTAGCAAACCAGTTAAACTAGAACTCACCATCCTTAATATAATAGATGAGACACTCGGACAGGTTGGGGTCTTCGTTCAGGTTGACGAGATGCGGTGTCCTCTTAGGCGAGTAGATGCCGACGGTGATGCCTCCCTCCTTCACTGCCAGTCCCATCTCCGCGAACACGGCTTCACGTTGCACCCGGATTTGTTCGGTACGCTTCAGTTTTTCCTCCCAAGTCTCGTTTAGTTCTGTTGAAGAAATAATATGATGAAATTGGATAACAGCTCAATTTCTTTATACAGCACTAGACACTCCAATTAAAGAGTTTTAATTAAAACATAAGGTTGTATGTCTTTAATAATGTAGTATTTATGTAAAACTTACCAGCAATAAGTTTCTCAGAAGCTTGCAGCTGGTCGACGGCCTCTTCGGCAATAGTCGTGGCCGCTCGGGACAACTTCGGCGACAGCACCTCTGCCTCGCTCTTCTTACGTTGCGGGGACGCATTGTTCTCTTCTCCTAGTAAATTGAATGTACAATTATGTGTTAATTTATGGAGAAATTAGAAGAAATTTTGTATGATTTTTTTGAAATTTGGATTTTTGTATTAGTAGGTTGCATTTTGTTGTTTTTTACTTAGTGTCGAAAGAACTAATTAAAGTTCAATCAATAATAATATGTTTAACTGCAGTTCCATTTAATGCTTTAAAAAATCCAACAACTTTCATATGTAATAAATGTTATTTTTAATTACTTGGAATCCTTTTTAACCAATTGCCTTTGAAGGACTTGTTTCTATTTTCGAATGTTGATTTTGGAATAAGATCATCAATTTGAATATTTGTTTGATTAAACTTACAATATTGTAATTCAAAGCATGCTTGGTTATATACGGTTAAATATTTCTTTAAACAATCTACGTAATATCTAATCTATGTTTATGATTACGTTGATTATATACTTCATATAATTATAATATACTTTATCTATTGCACTAGTGTGGTGTAGTGCAATTTGTGCAACCTTCTTTGTGCAAACTATTGCACGGAGGCACCAAAATCTTTATTTTACTTTAGTGGTTATATATTACTACAAAATAATAAATATTTGACACCAATACTATATTTTGACACAAATATAATGGGAAAACATGCAAGGCTTCTGAAGCTAGAAAGCTTTTATTGTAGCAATGCAATTCGTTATATAGTAACTGCCAATTGGCGGCCAATTAAATTTTGGACCAATATTTGTGACTCTTCGAATGCCAATGTTTGTGATATGGCCGCCAACGGATTTTCACCCGGACTAACAATCGATTTTGATACTTAAAAACAAATCAATAGAATCCTTTTTAAAATAGAAATATGTTTAATAAACACAAACTGTGTATGGAATCAAAATCGATTATTTCAACAATACGGGCCTGAGCACTTTAGAATATTATAATCGACGGACACATACAAGATATAAGGATATATAAAATGCTCAGATATACATAACAGCACACCAAGTATTTACTACATACATATATACTATGTATAACCATCATATCTAGTGTTCAGACCAACACCAATAGAATATAGTGATAAAGAAGCGCAATATACTCATATTATATTCATGGTATGACCCACACCATACGTTTATAGTCTGTATGTCTGTGAAGTACTATAATATTATAATATATCGTATGCCTACAAACGCCACAAGCGCTGGACAAGGTGCAAAATAAATTGCTTTTTTTTTCATCAGTGTCAGGTTGCCAGACTATAGACCAAAAATGTTTTTTTATTATTATTATTTTTCGTGTCTGGCAACCCCTATTCAAAATGGAGGCCAAGCGTACAGGTGGGGTGTACAGATGCAAAAATGCGCAAGCCTCTTTATTGTTGTTACTTACTGATGGGCTCTTGTTTCTTTTCATAAAGGACTTTACCATCTGGTCCTAGTTCGTGTGGATATTGGAAACAGAATTAAGTTTTAGTATCAGGAATGAGACTAAATGGTTATGTTGCGCTAATCGTAACCGGCGTGCTTTGTTTGCTATGAAACAATCACACAAGACTGTCTATTAATCACAAGACATCTAAACATCCTAACTCACTCACAAGGCCGAGAATAAGCGTTCGCAGAGGTCGGTAGATAAACTGACATATACACCAATTTAGACAAACATTCAAACACCTCTTTTAACACCCCTACATAATAACAGCAACTTACATTGTCTTCCTTTCTTCTAAAGAAAATGTCTTCCCATAATTACTAACCTAGACTGGAATCATCGTAGTCATCAATTTAGTAAGTATCATTCAACAAAATACTCTATATACAAGTCGATAAAGTTTAAATTGCCAATCAGTCAGTTTATCTATCGGCCATCATGGAATTACAAGGCCGTCTACATACAAGAGAGACCTACCTTCTTCGACTTCAATGCCCTCTGCCTTGAGTAGTTCCCGAAGTTTGAGTATTTCTTCCTTGAGCTCTCGGATAAGTTTGGCGTTGGCGTCCTCATTGACGACCGCCTTGCAGACAATCTGCTTGGCACGGTCCGCGTATCTGTTGAATGGTGATTGTTATAAAACGTGTACAGCTTTGTACGAATATTTGTTAGTTATAAAACAATGTTTGCTCTATTTGGGAATTTTGGGATAGTCAGGCGTTTGAAAGATATTCTCCAATTAAGTAACTGCTCTTCAATCTTTCTCAATCAGAATCTAGACTTCCATAATAAGAGGACGCTTACAATCTAGCAATTTACTGTCAAGGGTGGTTGGCAACGTTTCAATCATTTTTAGAATTTGAGAGGAAGTTAAATCATTTAGGAGGAATTGTACTCGGTTTATGGCCATTTCTTTTTTTATTTTTATTATTTTTTTTAAGGGGGGAAAATCATCGAATGACTGCTCCCGCCTGGGTGAGGCGGGAGGGAGTGTCAGACTCTTACTGACTAAAAACCACCCCGTTCCTTCTCCTGCACGTCGAGCCGGAGCCCCGGTTACCCATTAGGTTCTCCGCGACTCCGAATCGGCATCGGCCCTATTGGGCCCCATCTGTGGTGGTCTGATGGCTCTTTGAGGCGCGCGCGGAACGCGACGCGCCGTACGCTCGGGTCTGTTTCTGGTCGGACGGGGAGCCACCCATGCTCGCCGTCCGCAGGCCCGCGCTTACGGTGGCCGGAGATCGTCCCGCGATCCCCGACGCCCGGTGTGTCCTTCGCGATGGCTGGGTTGCGAGGAGGCAGCGCTTCGCTGCCTCACGCGTCCCGCCTCCTCGGTTTATGGCCATAGGTTAGCCCTATTACATGGGACTCATAACATAAATAGTGAAAATTGGGTGTTACACTTTACAGTGGTATTAAGTGCCATAATGTGCACCTAAACCTAACTCTTCGGGGGTAAAAGGCGTGATGTTATTATATGTGTTAAAGCATTTAAATTCAAAATAAATAAATTAATTTAGTAAAATCGTACTTAAATTAACCTTACCTCAATGTGCTGAGAGTTTCGTCAAAGTTAATATCAGCTGGTGAGATGGCAGCTATCATGGCGGTCTTGGAGTTCCCGCCGAGGTTCTCACGCAGGAGCCACGTCAGCACCGAGTCACGGTACGGGATGAAGTCTGCTTTCTTCGACTTCTTACTCTTTGACGCCTGGTAAAAGAATTTAGTATAAGAGTTGAAATATAATATTGAGGGGAATATCGGAAATTATCTGTGTTATTAGTCTGAATGCTAGTTATGGGTTTACTAATTACTTATGAGATTCTATTATTAAAATACAAAGTTTTAGACGCTAATTACTTCAACTAATAATATCTTCCTACTCAGAAATCAAATGAAATGTAAGTAATGTTTAAACTGTGAGGCTATTATCAAAAAAGGCGAAATTATTAAGAATAATAACACAGATTTTTCGGACAACATGTATGCGCAAGATCTAAGTAAAAAACTTAGATCAAGCCTTCTTAAGCATAAGGCCACGTTGAGGCAATCATGTGTCGAGGCGTGACATTAAGAATCAACTACACGCTTTGCGCTTTTGCGCAAAATCAAATTTACATAATAAACAGTACAAAACACACAACAAAACTACAATTAATTTCTTCTAGTAAGAATGTGCAAAGCTATCACTGCGCAATTATGCGCAAAATGTTTGCGCAAGTTACAAATATTAGCGCACTATAAAGCCTGTAGTCAAAACTTAATACAGGATTGGATATTTATGCGTATGCACATAATGCACAAAACTTACCGTCAACACGAACATTACAATCGGGACAAAAAGCCAAATATTGCAAGTGACTGAATTTAAAAAAAATTGGTTCTTAGGTTTTTAAAGTGAATTGTGAGAAGCGAATAACCGATTGGCTAACTTTATTTAGGCTTAAAAGGCCGATACTCGGTGCTCAAAGCGCCGATCTATAGCTAAAGCATATTTAGCCCAATTGTAAAGGGGTAAAAATATTAGGTAATGTGCACACACTCCTGCAATCTCTATTATAAAACCAAACTCACCGACTATAATATAATTTCCACGGAGAAACGGTGCGGTAAAACAAACGTGAACCTTTTGTTAGTATTTAGCATACATCTACGAATAAAGTGCTGTACGCTTTAACGTTTAGTCATGATTATTTACTTGTACAATTAACTTGCTCTGTCCCATGTTTATGAGTTTAGAATTTTGACCTTTTGACCTCCATGGCAATTAAAATATGCCCAAATACACTGAAGTAGCAAAAACCAAAGTCTAATCCAGTGGCAAGTCTGCCAACTGCAGGGTGGTAAGTCCGCAAAATGCCACGAGCCGGAAGGAGCCTCTGTTCATAGGTTCAACTGAACTTCTATCTTATTTTATGGAACGGAGGCCCATCGATGAATTTGCCACGAGCCCCGAACGATGTAGTTACGCCACTGGTCTAATCCATTACACGTCAGTGCAAGTTAGTTGCAAAAAGTGAATCTTCTGACCGAAACGTCACTAGTGTACAGCTCTTGATTCAAGTATTTAGCAAATAGCAAGAAATACAATACTGTTTAGGTTATTTTTAATTAATAGCAATCCGTTGGAAATTATTCTCTTAAAACTATACACAGTATATGTTACCATTAGCTTAGGTATAACTAAATAGATACAGACTAGGGAGAATATTAGAGGTAGTTGAATCCAGGTATGATTAGATACATAATTTAGCTAGCTATAGGAATACACATTCCTAAATAATAATAATAATTCACGAGTGTAGATTGTAGACCAGGGCTTCCCAACCTTTTCTTGGCCAAGGTCCACTTTTTTAAAACATTTGTTAGGGACCATCACTAAGTATTATTTATTTCTATGACTGTGGTCCGGATCAAGATTTTCTCCAGAGAGAGTAAGGATCATTCTCATGAAAATAGCAACATTTCGATTATTGAAATCAGTTGATCCTCTTCGTTTAGTTGCCTTCTTCGACATAAGTTTTATTCGAGCTTTAACTGTCGTTTTAATTGGAAACACAAGACAACAACTCAATCTTTTTTTTGTTAAATTCGCGAACCATATTTCGTCGTCTGCGGACCGCTAGTGGTCCACGGATAACCGTTTGGGAATCACTGCTTATTATACCAAATCAAATTATGCAGGTATGTTAACAAAGTTATAAATTCCTCAAAAACTTGACCTTTAACCCGTCGTTTGCCGGAACGTAGATCTACGCGAGACACAATGCATTTTCTATTGTGTCTTATAAACCGGCAGTCAAGAGGTTAATTGATCAGTAAATCAGTTGTTGCAAACAAATATTAGAATTTCTGTGGTCACCATCACACATCACTATTTGTCAAATCCGTTACGACTTCAAAAATAAAAAAGGACCCTATTAATTCGGCCTATAGGTATATATGTTTGTGAGCAATTATTGCGCGATGACTGAACCGCTGATGTGGCTTCCAGAAAGGTGTTTATTACCTACACTTAGGAGAAGGTTTTTTGTGTATTAATTAACGGCCGTTCCCAATATTCTATCTATCCCTTGTTTTGCCCTACTGGAGATAGAAAAATCTATCTATCTTTAAATTTGCCGTCTCAATAAACTTACTGGCGATAGGCAAACTAATCTATGGTTGTCATTACCTGTGGGAGGACGGATAGGTTATCTACAGATTGCTTTTACTATGAAATTGACAGTTCATGCGTCCCAATAATAACAAAGGTGCTATCTGTCAGTGACTTTGGTTATCCCTAGTAGGCTTTAGCTCTATCGCAGAATTTTGAGGGATAGGAGTATAGTTATCAGTGAAGATCAGTATATATATCTTTTCTATTTCTTAAAAATACATCAGATTTAAACAAAAAATCATTTCGGACTCCAGTTCAAGTAGTAGTTCAAGTGCTATTGATATTTTGAAACAAATAAGGAACTGGGAATCTGACGAGGACGATGTGGTTACCACAACACGACCATATCAAGAGCGTGTTAATTACATGTACAGATATGACGATTACGAGTTTGTGTATAGATTTAGGCTAAGAAGACTAAATTAGAGAATTTTATACTTGTCCGTTATTCATACCTACATCTTTATTTTAATTAAGTGTTCCAGTGGACGAGAAATGAGATAAACATTGAATGTGCAAAATGCATAGTGTAATAAAAAGATGGTTTAGAATAAACTGTTTTATTTTATTTAATTATATGAATTATTATTGGGTTGTTTCTCCTTCTCCAGTATATCTAGCTAGAGTTTCCGTTTCTTTAATGCATGTATTTCTTTTCGATCTGTTATTGACTCATATCATCTGCATCAGCTCGTCTTTTCTGTTTTCCTAGAAAAATATTATTTATAATTATAATATTATTTATAGTGTATTATTCCATTTTGCTCCTCACCATATAAAAGTTTTATAACTAAACAGTATTGAAAAGTAAATAGTCATAACCAATACCAAACCCCAAAAATGAAATATACAAGAAACTATCTGTGATACCTAATCCTCCAAGTCGCATCCTTGAGCTGGTTATTGCTGGCATTTGTGACTTTGCTGAACATCAATGGATTTGCCTCCACCAATTGTACCAGCTGCATTACTTCTTCTTTCGTCAATAGCATATTCTTTTGCTACAATGAGTGCACCAAACACGAGTTATTAGTCACATGTATGTTCATGCAAACAACAAAAAATATTCAACAATCCAAGTATAAAAGTTCAGTGAAAGCCATAGAACTTTAAAACTTCAATAGCTTCAATCTAAAGCTAGAAAAGCACAAACTGTAATACTTACTGAGCTCATTTATTATAACAAACAATTCTTTGTTATATTATCATAATTTATTGTAAACAAAATCAACAAACAACAATGTCAAATGTCAATGTTTTAACAAACACGTTCCGTTACAAGTCGCGCACTCATCCAGTCGCAAACATGAAGTTTTCGTTATATTTAACTTAAAAAAATATTGTTTACTATAAAATTTGTGCAAAATATAAGGTTTCGTTAATTAATTCAAAATGTTTGTGATATAAACATGACAAGATGCTTTGAAAACATTATTGTAACTTAGTGGCACTCTGTGGGGCTCTGCATACAATGAAACACATGGGAGGGCTCAGATAGGCACCCTATCTACTGATATCTAGAGATAGCAAAGACACATTTTAGTTATTGGGACGACATCGAAAGATAGATAGCTTTTAACTGACTATCGAGGATAGCTATCTATCTTTACCTATGGATTGAATATTGGGAACGGCCGTAAAGGAATTAAATAAAAGAGCGAGTTGAAGTCGATGTTTTCAATCGTGGTTTATAAAAGAAAAATCGTGGTTTATGAAAGTATTTCCGATAATTTATCTGGTAATTATTATATCATCAATCCAATAATAAACTATAGATTCAACTAAACAAAAGGAGGTTCTAACACCAAGCTACTCTACCGTCATAAGGTAATTCTAAACCAATGACTTACGATTTCAGCGAGTGCCGAGATGACTTTTCCGAGTGTAGTCAGAGACTTGTTGATATTCGCGCCCTCCTTGAGACGGGTACCCTTAGCTCCTGTCGAGTCTGCTCGCTCGGACCCTGCCAAGTCCACCAGCGAGATTTTTGACACCTGAAATGAAGTTTGTGTTAAGATTATATTGTTCATGTAGTTGTAGCAATAAGTAAGCGTGGTATTAAGTATTAGAAAATGTAGAAAACCGTTCATAAAGTAATACTTTATTATCATCCAAGACGAAATAGAGAAGATACACAACATACTTAAACAATTATATTTATTTACTTGCTTGAAACCTCTAATTCAGTATATTATTATATTAACAAAATTTCAAATTTCCATAAAAAAAGAAATACATTAACCCTTTCATATAAATGCTAGATCCGAAAAGCAAAGAAAAATCTCACACCAATTTATTAGATAAGTTTACTGGTGAACTTAATATTTTAGCAATAGATTATGAACACAAAGGTTTGATCCATTGAGTTTTAATGATCCTTCCACCGATACTGAAAGGCTACGCAATTTTAAATTGTACATAAATATCGTGCCATCTCTGTCTATTACCAAGAATTTGCAGTGACAGAACACGTACGAGCAACTTAAAATTTAGTGACGTTTGAGTATTACGACATTAGTCTGACACCTTACCTTCTCAGACATGAGGTTGGTGGTCTGGTCATGTCTCTGTTGCGTGAAGAATATGGTGAAGACAGCGTGTGAACGGGATGAGGTCTCGTTCATGTTGGTAGCTGCCACGGTCCTGTTTGATATGGATTAAGAGATTAAGAGAAAATCTTCACAAAACCAATGATTTTTAAAATCTGGTACACTGTGCAAAGCAATCATAAAATTACGCAGAAACTCTGCAGTAACCAATACAGAAAGACAGAAGTAATAAGCAACTTTTCATGACGTCATATTTCAACGTACTTAAGTTAGTTAAAAGTATCGAAAATACTTTTTCAGATAATAGGAAATTCTACCACCAATCTTGATATCTAAGTTATCAAATGAAAATAAATATTTCTCAAAATACCTATTTTAGTTCTAAAAAATTTGACTACAAGCTGTTCATCATATATCTATGTTTAAGAAAAAATAAACAGCGGTTTTTCTCACCTGGCCTTGTTTCCCTCATCAATGAGGTCGTATATGTCCTGGTATGACGTCACGGCGAGCTTGCTAAGGTCCTCCACGTAGGGGCCGAGGGCAGGGTGCTCACGGACCCTCAGGTTCCCCTTATTTTTGGGGTTCAGGAGATCACGAACTCGCTCGCAGTATATCTCCATGTAAGACACTTCCACCTGATTTATTATGAGGAAATTGAATAATTAGGAATGAGTAAAAAGTGCTGTGACGAGAATGCAACTAAAATGTATTTTGACGAGAATGGCATCACTATAGAATAACCATATGCTTATTATAGATTTATTTGTGTTACTATGATTGCATTCTTTATTTTAAGTTGTATGAGTAAAGCAAACTTGAAACAAATGTGTAATGTAAATGGGGAGAGCCATGCTTCGGCACAAAGGGGCCGGCTATACCGGAGTAATACCACGGCCTCACAGAAAACCGACGTGAAACAACACTGTGTGTTTCGTCGTGAGAGTAAGGTTACTGGAGGCCCAATTACCACCCCCCTGCCCCAATCTCCCCAAACCCTGTAACGCACTTGTAACGCCTTTAGTGCTCCAGGTGTCCATGGGCGACGCCGATTGCTTACCGGCTTATCCCATAAGAAAACCCATAATAATTATATCCTAACTATTATTATATAGCCATGTTTAACTTAATATACTGTTATTGTTGGCAGTCAAATCAATCATCTATTATTATAAGGCTATCTACTACCTAGACAGTTGAACATAATCACAGCAGAAACTGTTAATTTCAAACAACAATACTCAAAAATAATCGCTAACAATTTCTTGTAATCACAATTAACCAAAAAGGATATTTCCTTCTCATATTTCGGAAGTGTTATTAACATTAAATAAACTGGATTTGAATTGCTAATAGCGTAATTAGATTCAACATGAATAATTCATGTGGATTCTCATTGCTTTACAGAGTGGAACTGCGCATTTCGGACCGTTTTGAACATCTGTGTTTGAAATTAAAATGGCCGTCGGATGGATAGGTAGACTTATGTAAACGTATTGACCACTGCATTTAATTGTTAAAACTGTGTCATGCGAACTGTTAAAATATGATGACGTCATAAAATGGCGCTTGGAAGTCTATAAACTATTTTTGGTTTTAGGGAGGTATTGGACGACTTTATTAGAAGATAAAGTATTTGAAACAATAAACAATGCTTTGAAACAATGTAGGTAACTTTAATTTTGATTTACCTACGTTCCATTTATCCTACACATCTTAATCTTACTTAGGTCCTAATGAACACCAGGAAGGTCATTCATAAATTTTACTAATGCCACCAGACCATTCAGTACTGCATAATAATGTTAAGCAATACGAATTCTTTATAAGTTTCACTAGAAACCATTTAAATATACTTTTCTGATAAATCACTAACATAGAGGAACATCACACTAACCGAATATTTAAGATCATCTGAGGTGGTCTGTCGTATGCGCCTGAAGAGATCCTTGCAGATCTGCGGGATGATGCCCTCTTGCCCATCCTTGCCGCTACCCATCATGGTGTACGACTTGCCCGCACCCGTCTGCCCGTACGCGAATATGCATATGTTGTAGCCTGTTGAAAAATATATTTTAGTAGTTTCATGATAAGGTAGCAATTGCAATAAGAGATTAAAGTGGATGTATGACATTTCAAAGGACAGTATTTATTGTTCCTAACAAACTTTAACATTATTATATTTGATGTTATTGTAACAAGACTTATACAAAAAGATCAAAAAAAACTTTAATTTACTTAAATAAAAGTGGATCACGAGAACAAAGATCCAAAAATGTGAGTACGCTCCGATTTGAGCGTAGATACGGCAATTCGCGAAAAGAAAGCGCAATTTACTGCAAGTGAAAGTAAGAAAGTGTGATGATTACCGTCGAAAGCATGTTGCAACATCTCTTCTCCGATGTCTTTGTACACCATGACTTGGGATGAAAATTCTGGATCATTTGGCTGCAACAAAAATAGAAAGGTTCATATTCGATCGCAGCAACAATCCTTATCATCCAATACTGAATAAATGCCTATTATTTTTTTCACAGAATAAGTCGGTAAAAAAGCGGAACGATCACCAGATAATCAAGCAATCGGCGCCGCCCATGCACATAGGCCACACCAAAGAAATGAAAAGTGCGTCGCCGACCTTTCTGTGGGTTAGGGATTTGGGGATTGCGGATCAGGGATTGGAATCTCCCCAATCCCCAATCCTCAATCCTGAAAAAGACCCCTTCAATCTTGTAGAGGGGAGGAGTTAGGCCTCTTTTTTGCCATAATCCACAGAAAAAAGTACGAGGATCACAATTTAAAAAAAAATGGGAATTGCCTGCTCGTCTCTTAGTAGCTAGACAGTCCGATTATCCTGTTTAAATTTTAACGTTAATAACGTTAACGAATAATGTAGTGGGGATGCGATTTTGTTAACCTGATATTTGTATTTTTTCCTATATTAAAACATACATACATATTGGAACTGTTTATTGTCCCTCTCTGTATAAATAAAATAAATATTCCAAATTAGGAACGCATTGGTGTATTAATATAAAACTTAACTAACATTTTTCTACAGTTCAACCACATTTTGTTAATTACGTTAAGCAGGTATTAGTCATGTTATAGAGGGCAAAGGTCAATGACACTGTGGCATCAATATAGCAGCAAGAGTTACACCACCAGTGTAAAAATATATAAAGTTAAACATGGGTGTAACCTACTTTTTTAACCGTAAAAAGTATAAGGCTGTTTTCTTCATGGTCGTGATAACCTACCCTAACCGTAGAATTAAAAAAAAAAACGGTAGGTAACCAAAATAATAATGTAGAATTTAAATCGAATCATTTTTGCACACTAAAAGCCAATTTTTAATCATCAGTTAATTCTTAACTGTAGGATAAAATTGATAGTTTACAGTTTTTAGTGTTAAAGAATTGTCAGATATTTAAACTGTCAAACACCCCGAGGACTCCGGTGACAGCTACCTATTGCTCTTTAAAGTAATTCCTCAGTTAAAATTTAAAGTTTTGTTAGGTTAAAAAGTTAAAGTTAGAGCATTGAAAAATCGGCCCTCAACTAAGTATAAATAACCATATTATTTGAAATGCCTTTCTTTCTTGAGTTACATAAATAGACTAGACTAAGTAACATCTGACGGACTAAAATCGCAGACGCATACATTTGTATGAATTACAGATACCCACGCTAAGCTTCGTTACAATTGCAAATTAAGTAAAGTGCTATTTGCTTTATGTATGAGAAAAAGCAGAGATTTAATTTGATTCTAAATTGGATTTTAGGTGACTTGACAGTGTTGGAGCTTAATAGCTGCAAACACGTCTACCACATGAAGTTATGGAAATAGATTACATCTTCAAGTCTCAAACGAATGCGAAGATGAAAGATGAAATAACACTAAAATAGCAGTTTTCACAAACCTCTCGTAATATTAAGAAACCCTTAAGTTTAGATAGGTGACACTCAACGAAATTTTAGTTTTCACCAACCTAAGTGACACCTAATAGTAAAGGGATGTTTATTTTAGGACTAAAGTCCTGCTCACTAACGCCAAGTAACTCTTTTTTTGTAATCGTAAATGGTTAGGGAACCCAGGCATTGTCAAGAGTCACAATCATTTATATCAGTTAGACAAGGAAGGCACTTCTGAACGTCAACCAAAAATTTAAAAGTGAAGCTATTTTCTCATTCCGAGGTATAGATTCCTATGTAGAAGAACGAGCAAGAAACTCCATAGATTACTATTTTTTAATCAGGTTCACAATACAATTAGTTAGTCACATAATTTTGTTGGTTGAAATTGAATCTTATAATAAATATCAATAATAAGTAATAAATTAAAGAACAGAGATTGATATTATTATTATCACTGGGTTTTAAAAAAATCTCAATAGAATCACGGAGTCTGGAATTGTGCCGGGTATATGGCAATAGGCTCACCTCTTACTACATGGGACTCATAACATAAATAGTGAAGTGGGTGTAACATTGTACAGTGCCATAATGTGCACATCTGCTTACCCCTTCGGAGATAAAACACGTAATGTTATGATGATGTCTTTATTTAAGTAGACATATTTATACTAACACTACATACAATCGTTCGCCATTCCATCTAATTCAAATTCATTTATTTGCAAGAATACATGTTGACAAAGGAAGATCTTATAGCCTAAAAGTCATTGTATTCTGCCTGCGAGCAAGCGTGCAAAGTCGATCGATATAAATACTTCTATAGAAGATTGCATGTCTGTTTGTCGAATTTTTTACGCCAAAATGTCAAATTACGCATGTTTCACGTGTAAATGTTATGCAAACTGAACATTGATGATAAGATAAACGTGCTTTCATCGTGAAAATAGTACCATTCATCATTTATATGCTCATGTGGATAGTATAGATTTATCCTTATCGCCTTTGGCTGTCCAGCACACAAATTAATCTAACTAACGGTACCCATTAAACTGTCAAACACCAAGCGGTCACCGGTGACCGCAACCTATTGTTCTATAATTGTGTCTATAATGTCGGTACTCGACGAGTTAAAGTACAAATGATCGAACCGAAGCGTTACCGTACCGTCAATTTCAATTCGACGGTCCAGAGGTATCCATAGAGAATGTGCGATGGACCGCTGTACACACTATCGAATATGGTGCGGAGCAGATAAAAGTGACGGTTCGGTTCGATCGTCCGTTCGTGCTTTTATGTTATTCTCACAGAGAATGTAAAAAATATGCATCGAACGTATGCATAATTCAAAACAGACTAGGAAATGTCTCAAAACGTCTACCAAACCCATAAGTGTGTCTCAGTAGACATCTTCTAACCGCCGAAATCAATAACCAATTTCAATCTAAAATCTCTAGATCAAGAACCAAAAAAATATTATTAAAACTGGGAAAATATTTAGTTTTTATTCTGCACCGTAACGCGCTGTAACGCCTGATTCCTATTAAAAAAAGTTATTGACAGAAATATTGTCAAACTTCTATATCCCAAGAGTTCAATAAGCACTATGAATGCTATATATGCGCATATCTATGCGCCCTTCTCTCACCTGCACTTTTGTTGACTACCAAGTCTTAAGTATTAGGCAAATCAATAAACACAAATAAAAATAACCATGTATATTGAAAAGAAAACTGTATTATAACCAACACAGATACACATTTGGAATCCCCATAACCGCATAATTGCAAATACGGGCCACGCCGACTTGAAATGGACCACAGAGCCAACAGCTCCGGCCTAGAACGGACGTAAATTAATCATCACAGAGCAATCTCCGTGTGATCAAATGGATGTGGTTGCTGCGGTCTATGGTCGATGCTATTGGCACACAAATTGTTTATGTGCCTTTAATTGCTTTGGCTCTCGTTTGTTTACTGAAATAAAGGTGTTGTATGCACCATTTGCATATTTTTGTTATTTTTCACTTCAAGTACCTACTATAGTACCCACTACATACAATAATCTAGCTGACGCATTCACTCAAAGGTTACACTCGACTAAATCAAAATACATAACATCACTCTCATTTATCCTCGAAGGGGTAGGCAGAGGTGCACACAGAAGTAACCCCACTTTTCACTATTTATGTTATGAGTCCCATGTAATAGGGGTGAGCCTATTGCCATATACCGGGCACATTTCCAGACTCCGTGCTGCTACTGAGAATTTTTTAAAAACCCAGTAATACTTTGCCCGACTCGGGAATCGAACCCGAGATCCCTTGCCCGAGTCGCATTTGCGACCACACGGCCAACGAGGCATCAAAATACAAGACAGAATAAATCATAATATTTTATAATGTACTCCCAAAATCCTAACCAATAGACTAAAATAATCCCATAACGATATCCATGTATCCAATATGGCCGCCGTCCAAACTCATACGAACTAATATCAACGGACAATAGCCCGCCATAATATCGAAACTGGCCGATTAGTGATAATGAGGGCAATACCTATAATAATAAATATTATAGTTGGTATTCAGGACACTATAGCAGCATCAGGGATAACGTTAAATACAAAATGTATGAATAGTATGTTACGTTTATTCAAATCAAGAACATATGTTGCCAAATCATAGACCATGTTTTAAGGTATCATTGATCGTTCGAATCCCAAAAGCGCATTAGCCTTATAAGAAAAGAAAGAAAAATAAGAATTCATTTGACATAAGTCATATCAAATTGAGCTCACTATAATATTTCGACAAAAGATCACTTTATCCTCATCAGTGACATAATTGAATGCTATATAACTAACCAACATACTGCTAATTTTATAAATCCCACAGAAAATCAAATACTTTAAATGTGACACAAAATCATACGCAGTACAACAACGAATTTTAAAAAAGAAACATCCACTACTGCTATAGGACTAACAATAATAACAGACAAAAAAAATAAACACAACAAAACTAGCGATCGATAAATCGGCTCCGTGGGTAATCGAATCCTTAACTACACCACTAATAGTAATTTGACGGCTTCCGAGATAATAATCGAAAAGAAATCAAGGTTAATATCGATTCACAATCACATAATGTTTCTGAAATATTTTACGGTACGGGTACGAATTGATTTACTTGACGATTCGATTGATAATGGCTTAGTAAAATTTGTATATGTCGTTGAGGGTAGGTTGACAATCGAATGAAAGTATTACTAAGGAGACGGTGGGTTAAGAACAAATTTAACCCTTTGAGTACCGTCATTATAGACACAATTAAAGAACAATAGGTTGCAGTCACCGGTGTCCTCGCGGTGTTTGACAGTTTAAATGAAATTCCTTCTTTATGTAAGTAATTCAGATATTTGTTGGATTGGAAACCATTGCATTAGATAAACCAAAAACATCAAAGAATTTTACGATTTTAAAACACAATTTGTATTTAATTCATTGTAATTTATTGAACTCTAGAATATCTTTGATTCCCTCTAATGAAAAGTGCTTACTTTTACAAAATCAATAAAAAATGGCGGAAAGTAACTTGAGTTCTTCGACTTCATCACGATGACATCAATTATCGCATCAGATAAATAAACACAAACATATTTTTCCCTTATATACCTGTCCATTTAGTAAATAAAACTCCATCGGTATGGCTTAGCTTCAGCCCTCAGACTTTGATTAAATGAGGCATCGTATCTCCTACTCCTATGGATGGATAAAGGGGATTGCATTGAGGCTATCAACTTACTATCGATCCAACGCCAATAGCATCCATTTGTACGTGTTCCATGCAAATATTGTATGCCAGATCGATTTGATTTACCTATACTTGGTTTGTTAATCCTTTATTGATTGAGTTTCGTCTTAGCGAGCTACAATGATGAATTGTGTTTGTACAGCTACTATGTAACGTTTTGTTTCTGAAATTTTATCATAAGCGCGTTCTGTCAAACCTGAAGTTGCTTTTATACTGTGATCTCTAACCGGCAAGTTTAGAGATTATGGCAAACCACTACTATTTATTTAAAGATCCTCTATTTAGAGGAGACCCGATATAGCCAATAGGTTACCTTCTTAGGCTTTTTATGCGATTAGAAGGACGTATTTGTGCAAAAGCGTTTGAGACGTTTAAGTGTGGGAGAGCCATGCTTCGGCACGAATGGCCCGGCTCGACCGGAGTGATAACACGGCCTCACAGAAAGCCGACGTGAAACAACGCTTGCGTTGTGTTTCGTCGTGTAAAGGTTACCGGAGGCCCAATTACCCTCCCCTTCCCTAATCTCCCCAATTCCTGAATCAACAACGATCCTCAAACTCCTAATCCCCAAAAGGCCGGTAACGCACTTGTAATGCCTCTGGTGTTCCAGGTGTCCATGGGCGACGCTGATTGCTTACCATCTGGTGATCCACCTGCTCGTTTACCGGTTACGCCATAAAAAAAATATAGAGGAGAACCCATATAGTCAATAGGTTACTTTCTTAGGCTTTTTATGCGATTAGAAGGACGTATTTACGATATCAGGCTTTAACAACATGCTCGAGTATTACATAACATTATATATTATTATGTATTTACTTACATTATGAGACCAGTATGAGAAATCAAAATTGAAGCTTTTCGCGCCATCTTTGCTGCCAGGAGGTGCCTTTGGGTTTGTGATCACTGTAACAAAACAAAAACAAATACTTAATGATGGGTAATATTATAAAAAACACATGAGTATGTTAGAGAATGTAAATTCAACATAATTCTTTTTTTTAAACGTAGCCACTCTAGGATTTCTCCTGTATCGTGGATGCGTTTACATAAAAATTCACATACACATGACACCCAGACCCGAAATAACAATTTGTGGATCACACAAAGTGTTGTTCCGTGCAGGATTTGAAACCCCGGCACGCTGCACGGTAGCCAATTACCCAGCCACCGCACCAGCCGTGCAGTCAAATTACAAAGATCATTCTAAGTAGACCCTTAAATTCGTTCGTAGAATAACAAGATCATTAATTGCACAAGGTTGCAAAGTTGTCCTTCGGGCCCTCATTACGTAGCTCTATACAAAACTAGATGAGACACTCCAGTCTAGAACGTAATAACTACGTACAGTCGTACATTGGGCGTCAGTATGCTTTGCGGGAATGTGAGTGGCCAAAGCGTCGCGACGTATCGACCGTCGACGTCGCCGCGGCGCCGTTCTTTGCAAGGAGTCGTACAAAGTCGCTTTGAAAATGTTAGTGCTCGAATTTATGGGTGTTAGTTTCAATGCTAGCTTTTTTGTATTTGTGGTTTTAGTTTTCTTCTTTGGCTCTGTCGTGCAGTCTAGTTAATAGAAATATCAGTTTGAAAGTAGTCAAAACACTGGGTTCTTAACCACACATTATCACCTGATTGTTAATATGCAGACAAATATACAAGATTATCTCTTAGCTTAGACATTTGATATAAATATTCTATTCAATTTTGAAAATAATCCTAATCCTAATCCTAGACATCAGAACTTCAGAACAAAATAAACAACGAAGAAACTATTTTGTTGACTTAACTTTAAATAACTTAGGCAATGTTAGGAATAGATTGGACGTAAATTCGGAATCTACTTAAAGTTGTGATACCGCCTACTTATTCACTTAGTCCTAACTTAGGATCACTTAAGTTGGATCCACTGACTCGTGAAGTTAAAGGGAAATGGCTTAGTCATTAACTTGATAGAGTTTGGATACTTACCTCAACTAAATCAAATTAGATGGACTATAGATAAACTAAAATAATAGAATAGATTAGAATAGATAGCCTATAATAATACAGCACTAAAAGGACAGTTAAGAAGTCAACAAGTATACTCATAGCTGTTTGTACCGACCACCCCTAAACCATCACTTAACTAAAAGTTACTTAGCGTGACGTAGCACCTAAACTAACACCTTACTTGTACTGTTATGAATCACTTATAAATTTCTGAAAATCAAAATGCCGTTAAATGTCACCTACCTTAGCTTAGGGGTTCCTTAAATCTTAGGAGAGGCTGGTAAAAACGGTAATAGATACCTAACCTTTCAATAACGTATTGAATCATCACAATAACTATATTAAAGCCAATAAGATCTCATCTCTAATAAATAAATCAAGTACCCACTAAAATGCCCCAATAACAAATAACTGCAGCCACAATAGGGCATCAAACCCTCGTATGAAAGTCATCCCCACAATGCTTAATTTAATATACTTCCCCTAGCATCATAAACCTCAGTCATAAAATCAAATATCGTATGAGTCAAGCTCGTTGGAGCGGTCTCCTGCAAAGAGATTACGTTACTCAAGCTGCAAGGCTTTGAAGGCATTCATATGAGTCACAGCTTGGCTGCAAGTATTGTGTGCCAAAATACAGTTCCTAGTTAAAGTAATTTAGTGGTGAGATGTTTGAAGTTGGTCTGTCATGGAAATGAAGTTGGGTTATATAAGGTTCACATTCTTGAAGGAAAAATGAACAAGAAATTCCATCTTGAGGTTTGAAACCGGTAGGTAAAAACTTGGTCTTATTTAAAATTCATGTTATCATTATTTTTGTATTCCAAATTGGATTTGGATTGGATTTTTCATTATGAATATTTTATACCTACATCTCAATTTCAACGATCACAAAGGTCATTAAAGTGAACTGAAATATACTTCCCTACAAACTTATCGATCTAATGTTTTCGCTTTGTCGCTTCCAGTAGCGCAGCGTCAAAACATGTTTGTGTAAAATAAAAGTGCAGTCAGTCGGTACGTTTAGTAATTGCTTGTCTGTTCTAGCTTACATGATATCTATGAGTCATAGTTGCAACGTAGCAGACTCACTGCGCCAGGAAAAACTGTTTACATCTTAATGCCGGGGAAAGCAATTTTATAGAGATAAAACGTATCTCTTCTTTGTTCTTCGATGCAGTTTTATAAGAGCAAAAATAAAACTTTTATTCTTACTTATATATTTGTATCTTTGTACTATAGTATGCGTTTTATTTTGCGAACGAGTTGAATGCTACATTTATACTAAGTAAGAAGCACAAAGACAAATTTTAAATCCTCTCAATGCAAAGTACGTATTTATTTACGTCTAAGCTAAATAATATAGTATTTCAATCATCTACATATTTTCCACAAGACATGGCTCAAAAGGCAACAACCCAAACATTATAAAGATGTGAAATTCTAAACTCACACATCAATAAAAAATTACATTCTAAATTCAAAAAGCGCGCGCATTCATCTTCGAATTGTATGAGTCACAACTGCATCGTCGCAATGAAATATGGCGCCGGATACTGTTTGTTTTACTGTTCCTAGCTCCCTGGGGTAAGCAATCACACTGAGAGCAGTGTCGTTATTTATTTGATGCTATAACATGTAGCTTTACAGTTTATTCCTTTGTTTGAAACTGTTGCCAGGTTTCTGGTCAAAGGTTATTGAATTCGGACTTTTATTGTGTGTAAAATCCATTTGGGAATTCTACTGGGGATGTCGAGGAATTGGGAGATGGGCTGGTTTAATTGCCTAATAGAAAATATTACGCTCTAACAGGTTACACAGTTCCAGTCTCAAATAATTATATTGACAGTGTTTTATGAGTTGGTCACTTTTCTTAATTAATTAAATTAACTAAAAACTGCGGGTTACTCACGAACCACAGAGGGGTTCTTCCTCATGAGCAGCGTGCGCGCTCCTTCTGTGTTCGAAACTACCTCTAGCAGAGCTTTTCGTTAATTTAGTATGTCTCACGATAGTTATTATAATAACATGGTCACTTTTCATTTATCTTTAGAATTTTGTTCTTCTTTCCAACAAGAATGAAGTTCTCATCATCTTGATCATTATAGATCATTTTTAACAAAGAGGCTGCACAATAATGAAACTTTCCAACTTCCAATGTATCCTCTACTAAACGAATAAAACCCCTTAGAAAAATACACATTATATTTTTATTTACTGCCTTTCATTGAAAGAAAAACAACATTTGTGTTTGAATGCAACAACAAGGGTAAAGCGGCCATGTTGTGGCTGTGTTGTCGGAACATTCTTCCGGTATTGGAAGCCCGCATCGAACAACACAAGGTCGTTCAGACAAAGCATTGTGACAGTCAGCGAGAAGGTTGATTGAATGTATTACTGTGTGTATAGGACAACATGAGGACAAAAATGTCATACATGAGTATTTCTTATGATCTGCATAGGATATGTTTACTCAATGTAAAATTAAGGTTGTTTACTTTTACGAACGTTTTTTTAGACAAACAAGCTCAATTGTAAATCGTTAAATGTTTTCGCTTTGATTTGTTTCCATCAATTGGATCCACCACAGATTCTAAAATGTCAACAACAGTAACTGAACAGTGATCAATTTACGCTAACAAAATACTTTGATAAATAACAAGAAGTAATTTATCAAAGCCAGGTAGATCAAAAGAGAAACGATCAAAGAAACTAAAGAAACAGTCGAGGTGTAAAACAGCTCACCTATTTACATTGAAGGCAATGAACCGTATTAAAAAACTTGGGTGTCATGAACTTCAAGTAACGGCGGACATAATTGGTTAGACACGGCTCAAAATCAAGCTATGCAAAACCAGTATGAATTGACCGTCGAACGTAGGGAAGATCATACAAAATGAGACCATGATTTACTGGTTTGGTATACTGTGATGTGCACTCGTGTAAACCATTTCATTTTACGAGTTCTCCAACCAAATAATGGACGTTTCATTGCGAACGCTACTATGAAAAATGGTTGTAAAAGCGAATGGGGCATCAAAACCATTCGTAAGGTCAAAGTAACAAATGATTTACGAATTTGTGGATGTATGGTGCGGAAAATGTCTATGAACTTTGAACCTAGTGATCTTGAACACGTTTTTGCTTAATGTTTTGGGGTAATATCTGTAATAGTCACTGCCTTTATTGGGTTAATTTTTGCTTTGTCAATATATTATTGAGATGGTCTTATTTAGGTGTAGTTTCAAAATGGTAAGTTGCCACTATATTAACCTGTAATTCACACGTAACTGAACCAATCAACACGTGCCAGAAACCATATAATATACTTTTTTTGGAATTCGCATTTAAATTTTTACCGGACATCTTGTAATGAGGTTTCCATACCACATCATAAAAACTTCTCCAATTTTACAAACAAAAATAAGGGAAGCTTTTGTTTTCCCCATCAAAAAGATTCGCTTCACAAATGATGGTTCATTCTCGAGAATTTGAGATGGAACGTAATTAACGGTGACTAATTGCTTTGATGCTCCAGAGCTTTCAGAGACAATATTACGTCATAACCAAAGAGAAAAATGACATTTGAAATATTTTTCTTTTAAAAAATTTCGATGGATTTTGTCGAGGCTTGATTAGATTTCACTAATGAATGAAATTTGTCTTTTATAAAGAAAAGAAATAAGTTTGTTTGTTTTTTAATAAATGTTCTTGCAAATCAATTTTAAATTCTATACGTTACTAAGTAAAAGATATAAAAAATGAGAACTAGACCTCAGTTTTAATTATAAAATAACAAATAAACAAGCAGATGAATAATAGTTTCAAGATACGAAGCGCGGACCTTGATCAATATTCAACCTACATGTTCATTTCAGCATAAATGCTAACCGAGCACAGGGTTGCGTGTGGCCGCATGCCTAACATGGTCTACTGCAAACTATACCAGGCTATTTTACTACAATTTAGATATTAAGAACGTTTTAATGTATGTTAATAGGTCTAGTTTGCTCTGCAATGTCGAATTGTTGATAATTATTCGAATGGTACTGTTAAAAATGTCTTGCATTGTTTGGTAAAATGAGATATTAGACTTGATTCCTTAGTTTTGAGAATTATTACTCACTACAAGACTTTGTGTAACTAAAATAAGTAACGCTACTATCTGTCTGAAAGGTGAAGGTAGAACAGTACTAAGTTAACAAATACATTATATTGTCAAACAATAAACAATTCGGTAACGGTATCCGACTGCAAAATAATCATTGAAAGTATGTAAATTCTTTATAATATTTTCATAGATTTATAAATCGAAATAATGCAAATGTGTTTCTGATGGAAAATGAAACGCAACGCACTCGTACCACGTATTGAACGTAACTCGAACAAGCGGAAACACAATAAAACTTTATGCGACATTACGGTTTTATTTGCCCATGTAAACAAGAAACCGAACACGTCCCCTTTAAAATAATGAGATATTAAATCTATGAATGAATGTGTCTTTATTTAAATTGAATCGCCATTTTGAGAACGTTGAGACGTTAGGTATAAGGACACGCCCACTTGGATAGAAGACAGGAATCAATAAGACTAATGCGAACGTAGATAAACTTTACCAAACTCACAAAATAGAAAGGGTTAAAAAAATTAGACCAAAAGAAAAATCTAACTTAAAATGGCGACCCAATCAAACAACTTCGAAGTAAATGAAATGAAACCACGCGAATCATTTAGAAGGAGGAAGCGAAACTGCGGTGAATTTACGAGAGGTATGGAGCGGTCCATGGACAAGGTTTATGGGGCATTATGGGGTTTATAGGCCATTGAAACGCATGGGGGAGAGAATCCGGGGCGTAGGCGCGGAATGATTTTCGAATTCCAAACACCTGACCATGAAAATCAAATCAGGGGTGGTTTAAACAATGCAAGGGTGAATTTTGGAGAAACTATGAGTCACATGTTTACAGTGAAATTAGTACTAAATGGCTTCATCAGTTCGACTTTTGACTTTAGTGTAGTCATTAGTCATACTGACGAATCTATATTGCATATAATGCTGAATATACTCATCAAATCTATAGCTAGATCCCCATAAACATTGTTGTAAAGTATAATAGGTGTGAAAGCATTTGCGTTAGCTTTTTTAAGTGTTCATGCTAATGCATATTAATGGTATCCAAGCTTTATATTATGTGTGACGCATGTTGTGACGTCATACCTAGTCGTTTGCGACTCGTCGATTTAACACCCCCGCTATATGAAGACGTGACAATGAACTTGAAAGCTAATGCGGGATTATTGTATACGAATCAGACGTGGAACTTTATGGAGATCGATATATTTAAATTGAATTAAAGAAGAAAATCGTTTTGAAGCTGCCAACGATATAACTGAACAGATAGTATCAGATGATGTTAAAGAAAATACACAGTTTCTTTGTAATCTACAAGCAAGTTTCAATAACAAGCAAGATGCAAATGCCAAACATGTCAACACTACAGACACTCATCAAAACACCTAAGCGTTAGGGAAAACACGTCCAAATGGGAAATGTACATGAAATATGCAAGTGACGTGGCAGTTTAACACTAACGAGGTCCTACCTCGTTAGGAGAGGCAGTGCACAGAAATGGGAGCTCCCTCAACTGTGACGCCACATTCAGACCAGTCGCCGAGCTGTTAATAGGCGTAATTGGTAGAAACCTCTTTAGTAAGATGTTTGAAATGAAATATAGAAGCGATGAAGTCGATATTGTGAGTGAAAATGTTCAGCTTACGGTTTTGGCATAGTTTTCAGTTCTTAACTCGTTGAGGACCGTCATTTAATGTTACACACACAACAGTTTAAATAAATATTTGGTTTTGATTATATCTGAAAAGGGTTTAAAGTCTTTTTGACTTAACATATTTCATTTTTACCATATTCATACTTAAGTTCAATGATCTTTAGTCCAAAAGTACGTGCCCTAATGTCTTTGAAAACAAACAACTCCCAAACTTCAAAGTACATTATCATATATCGTTATGTTCATTCCTCCGATTACATTCACTTACTTCAGAAATCTCAAGTTTTTTGTTATTTCAATTTGAAAATTTGTGAAACATAAATTGAATAAAATGTCAAAAATCCTTCTCAAATTTTTTCATACAATAGATGTAAACTTTTTGAAAGCAATGTTTTAGTAAAGAGTAGGTACAGACAAGGGCTCTCATTAGAAAATTTGAAGCACTTTATTTGTTTCCATTGTTTGATATTCCAATTGCGATGTTTACATAAAAGCCCAACTTCTGCTAACAATTTTCAAAATGTTCTTTCCCTAAAGACCGCATAAATGTAAGGTAGATTATTTAAAAGTAGCATAAATTCATTAGCTTCGCTTCGATAAAAGTAAAATGACCTTTAGTGTCAAACTACAAAGTCGTATATCCTATGAAGAAAATATACTGTGTACGCCGTAGGTAATAAATTTAAAACTTGCCACAGTTGAAGTATGGAGCTCTTCACATGAGCGCGAGGCTCCCTCGAGGTATTTTTGTAGGACCCTTGAAAATTAGAGGTTATTTTTTGTAACAAAGAACTTTGTTAATAAGTTGAGGTTCTCCTTTAGTGAGGATATTTTGGGAATGCTGTAGAATGTTGAAATTAAACACTTGTGGAAAGATTCTGACCTAATTTTGGACTTAAATATGAAAAATATGGCGGACATTCTGCTGACAGAAGATTAAAGGTCTTTTGGAATTTTGGGGATTCCTTTACATAAACGGTAAAAGTTTTTTGGTGTTACGTACATAGTATTAGCTTTGCCTTAGTTTAAACATCCCTATTAGTAAACAGCTCGATTGATTTCTGCTGACATTGTTGTCTTGTAAGGTTTCGTTCGCGACCTTCTAACTGTACGAGTACTTCGCGCCTACAATGTTAGTACTGCGCAAGTATTTTAATCACCGAATTCTTTTAGATATTTTGTTGCGAAAAAGAATAACGTTATTAGTTTACTTATTGAAATTCTGCTTGCATTGTTGAAAATAATATTTACGAATTTTATCCACGAATTTATTTTTAAGACCATTCAGAATGTAATTCAGTAAACGTCTAACCGAAAAAAGGATGCACATAAACTCTTAAATGATGTTCACGATGAGAATTTCTAATACAATATCAATTCAACGACTCATTCCACAAGGAATTACTATTTAATCATAACAAATAATTCAACAATAAATAACAGATATTAGATCGAAAAAGACCCTTTGGGACGATAAGGATATTCAAGTGTTCTTCAAGTCCAATTGGTCTTCATTAAGGTTCCTTTCTTTAGCTTTCATTTCTACTTCATAAGTAACGAAGGTCTAAAGGGCGTGGTTTTACTGCAATGTATAAGTCAATCTTCGTTATCTATGGCTGCGTGGACGGTAACTAATTTAATAGCCTTCCAAGGTGACATGGCGAATAAAAAACTAAAGATTAAAAGAAAGATTAGAAAAGAAAGTAATTAGTAGGAACAAAGAAAAGGCCAATGTCTCCTTGATTGATTATGGCCGTTTTATGTTCATATAGACCTTTGACTAGTAGTAGTATAGGAATATGCTCATGTGTATTCTCTGATTAGTTCCATGAAGTAAAGGTCAAACTCATTATCGTAACCAGACTATTATCGTTTAATCTGTGGCTATGAAATGTATACTAAACTAGCGACCCGCCCCGGCTTCGCACGGGTGCAATATGTATATACATACAAACCTTCCTTAAGAATCACTCTATCTATTAAAGAAAACCGCATCAAAATCCGTTGCGTAGTTTTAAAGATCTAAGCATACATACGGACATACAGCGAAAGCGACTTTGTTTTATACTATGTATTGATGGCAGAAATGTCATTTGTCTAAAGGCGATGACCGTAGAGCAAAAATTTTACTCAACTTAATAATAGGGGTACATACTCGGATATTCAATACAGTATAAGTCCCAAATGCCTAGATAGTTACTATAAAATGTAATAGTTATTGAGCCACCAAAACCTCGTTAAGCTATAGTTTATCTGGCCTTGAATATATATGTTATATTGGATATAATACATCAAGCTTATAGCACTCAAATATAATCGTATGACAACGAAAATGTGAAAAGATTGATAGTTTTATAGGTACGTTGTACATTCAAGTGTTCGTTAGAGATCACCACATACTATAAAACAAAGTTGCTATCCACCGTCTGTCTGTCCCTATGTATGTTTAGATCTTTAAAACTACGCAACGGATTTTGATGCGGTTTTTTTAATGCACCCGTGCGAAGCCGGGGCGGGTCGCTATTTATAGTTATAGATAAATATGTGTAAGTAAAACTGTTTGATCTGATCTCTCTTCAGTTTTGACTGATTTCTCTTCAATGGACCCGCGTTTCTGATTCACATTCTATCGGATCCTTAGAAGAAAAATCTCGCACAAGACTAAATGTTCACTAAGATTTGTAGACTATGTTTATATTGTTATTTATATGATTAAAAGAAAACGCAATGTAATATTTCAAAATTGACGTCACATTTCGACCATTATCAAAGTTTCCATCGTGTCTTCTTTAAAAATCACTTGCATAGTGAAGATGAAGCTATTGTGTTTTCAAATTGGTATTAAAACCAATTGTAAAGCACAATTGTCAATTAAAAAGTCAACATTCTTACCTGTTGTGTTCCCGGACATCTCAATGATGCATTTGCATTCCCGGGCAATCTCCCGGGAGTTGAAGGGGCGAACCCTCACTGCCACCTTTACCGACGACATGGCGGCTGTGGCTTTAGTTCGCTCGTCAACCACTAGTGCATCGGTACGGGGCCGGATTTACAACTGGAACAAAATTACAAAATTATTACACGAAACTAATAATAACATAACAACATAACATCACGCCTTTTTATCCCCGAAAGGATAGGAAAAGGAAGGAAGGAAAGTTATGAGTCCCATGTAATAGGGGGTGAGCCTATCGCATATAACAGGGACAATTTCAGACTCCATGCTACTACTGAAATATTTTTAAAAAACCGAACTAAAAATACATATATTGGTCTTAAGTTGGTCAAATATTTTGAAGTACTGCGAGTTGAATATGAATATTACTATCGACGACGACGACACCGACCGAAACAAACTGTAGAAATAGAATAAGTAAAATTATATCCTTCTTGGATTGAATTAAAAGAAAAATATAATTTAAACTAACACCATTGATTCTTTCAAACACATTTTATAAAATGTAATATAAAACTAGTTTAAGCCTCTTCGTATGACCAATATCTTTAAACGAAGTAATTTCACACATTGTAGGTACTTCATTTCTAAGCCACGTCAATACATTTCATAATCTTCTCCAAAAAAAAACTCAACAAAATTTATTTTCAGAGAAAAGAAACACTGCAATAATAAAATAAATACCCTTTTCAAAGAATGGATACAATTTAAGTGAAAATTATCCAGATTTTATCCATTGAAATCCAAACATTAGGTTAAAGACATTGAAAATATTTTCTAAAGAACATCTCTTAGGTCATTCGAGTATTGACCTGAGGTGTGACTAAGGTCAAAAGAGGCTTAAACTTAGAATGACTTGGAAAACTTAAAATAAATTAGCCAACACTATTTACAGCTGTCATAGTGAGTGGTTATCCATTGAATGAAATTGTTGATTTAATAAACGATTAATAACGTTGTGACTACAATAGACAACATTTTTTATTATTTTAATTAAAACCCTAATAAGGATTATTTCCAATGATAAGGTAAGTGTCACCATCAGCGAGTGGTGAGAACAATAGACAAACAAGAACAGGTAAAGCACACTGATGATCATAGTAAAGTAAGACTCCGTACCAATTCTACCAAAGAAGATCAAAAAAAGAACAATAGTTCCAATCGAAAACAAACATCGATTTCAATACAGATTACCAAGCAGGTTGCAATCGACACAACCTCATCGATTTCTTGCTCAGTTACATTAACCCGACCAAACCCCTAGTCTATGTCATCGACCGAGACTACTGCATTATTGAATTCAAGTGAATTTGAAATTAATACATAAGAAGATAAAGCTCTAATTTCGTTTTCATTTCTTAAAGAAAAGGCTTTCAATGGGCACACGGTACAATAAAAAACGATGACGTATGAAATACTTAAGATGCTAGTCGAATAGCGTAATTTAAACTGTATGCTGGCATAGCTCTGAACTCAGTAGGTAATCATTTATACAAACTGGAACAAAGCAATAAAGCTAGATCATAATTTAAAGTGGTTTTACGATTTGAAGCGGTTTCTTTCATACGTTTTATTCACATTCATCACATTTATGCGAAGTCATTGCCCATTGCTTCTACCTCTAGATTCAATAAGTCACCAAAAGTAAAGGAAGGATCGGAACTAATGTTTTCAGGCCAAAACTCGATTTTATTACCCGAAGGATTAATAGAAGACCAGATTTTAATAAATTTATACAGGAATCCAAGAACTACGCAATAAGTGGTCCTTGGACACCCAAATCGTTGGAATTATAATAAAAAGTCGGCAATGGAACGAAATATTCGTTTAAAAGAGGAATAAAAAGGGGATAAAGTCGTAGAATTGTGGCATAATGAGGTTGTCGCGTGGGAGGGTTGGAAAGCGAATGCTAACTCCTCTAGGCGATTTCACAGGCAATAACAATTATCCAACGTTCTGGAATGTTTCCGTGACGTCATTGAGACGTTGTCGATGGCATTCGAGATTCTAAGCCCTTTGAATTAAGGGGAGCTAGGATTTTTTAATGAGGGGTCTGTTTCTTGAGTCACCGTTTAAGTGTTTTCTTTGTGTTGAGTCAAAGATTCTGTATTGGTAAGTTCATTAATACGAATATTAAGATCAATGCCAGAATATTTTTCTTTTATTTAATGTGCGGAGATAATGGAAATGAAAATCGAGGGCTGTTGTGTATGTGTTGTGTTGATTCAAAGCTTCTGTATGGCCAAGTTCATTAGTGCGAATATTAAGAAAAATGGCAGAATATTTTTCATTCAATCCTTGACCGGAGGTAATTAAAGTCAAGTTAAGGGTTTGTAAGTCATCACAAATGTTTGTTTATTTACCTTAATGATAATGATTTCGGTCCCATCAAGCTATGTGCTTCTTGAAAACCTTTTAAAATGTTATTTTGACCCTTTCCGTTAATTGATATTTGATGACAAAGTAATCTATTTCGAAAACTTCCTAATACATTTTTTACCTACAAAGATGTTATTACGGTACATTTTTTGCGTCCAACGTTCGAATGTAACTGCCGTTCAATTTGAATTAAACGTCATGGCTCGCGCATGCGCCGTGACCGTTGCGCGTGCTTTCTCAGCTGATCCGTTTTATGCCCTACAATGGATTTAAGTAGTTTATTGTGTTAGTATTACTAATGTCAAGTTATACAAATACAATTCATTCGAAATTATTGATTTTTTTTATTATTTCAAATATTTTTACATAACTATGCGTAATTTCGTAATTTGTGCGTAATGATCGACACGCATAGTTGTATTATTACGTCTGCAATTAATTAGCACCTTTGATTAAATTGTGTAATACTTAACTTATTTATCTGATAAAGTTAATTAAACTAAAGAAAGAGGTAATTAATCTCTTTTATTGAAATGGATAATTATTAACATTTACTAAGTTAATTTGTAAAATTATTATTACAATTGTCTAACTATAATTTTCAGTATTCATTTTATATCCAATTTCCATATTTTGTAAAACGATTTTACTTCTATGCATTATTTATTCCCAATATTTATCAATTTAGTAAACAAATAGAAACGTTACCAGCTCTTTTGATGTCTCCGACTTATTATGTAATTATGAAACGCAGCACAAACAATTAGAGAATTCCGAATAAAGACATTCACTTGCACTATAGAACAATATCACTGGTATATCCCGGCGGTATACGAGGCACAGAGTAGTAGGGTGTCATGACGTAGATCACAATATTCACAGTGTGTCCCACGAGCCGCGCGTACAAAATGGTGAATGTTTTCCTGAAAACGATCCTCGCGTGCTGTAATTGGCCGCGGTCGAGTGCGCACCGAGCGTATCGAAAGCGTCGGCCACCACGGCCACTGCACTACCAACGCACTTACGTAACATCCACTGCAACCAACATCTTCCAAACCCTCCAGCTAGCCTAACATCGCAAACGAGATCGAAGGGGCGGCCATGAAAAAACGTGTCGCAGAGATGACTCACCGCGCTCACTAGCGCCACCTACAACCGTCGAGATCGCAGATCGGTATCCGGGAAAAGCACATCGGAAGCCTTTAACCTTGGGCACTGCACTCGGCACGATTACATGAGGCGTTAACGGATCCGCTACGGACTTACCCGAATCCCCGTGCGGTTGCGACCGATGGCGACGATCCGAAACGCGATTTCACAAGGTTTGTTTTCCAAAGAGCTGGTTGCTCCGTCAAGTAGCAGCGCCGGCCGACATGGCGCGTCGCGTGCGGTTCCGCGGTGCGACTGCGGCCCGCCGGCCGACTCGCCGGAGACCCCGCGGCGGAGCATGCGCGTGACGCTCCCCCTAGCCTTCGATCTAACGCCGCGCTGCGCGCACTGCTGACGCGCACCCTACACCGCAAATAACACAATCCTCACTAACCTGACCATTTCAACAACCCGATAGCTAACACAATCGTGTTCCAATTGACACTAATTACTATTTAAAATGTCGGCACCTCATACGCCATGCTCATTATTCCTAATAGCAAACGTCAACGCCGAAAAGAACCCTTTTGCGACGCAATCGTATTAGTGAAGGTTCGTCGCAGTCTCCGCCTCCCCTACACTCCCACATATGAAGCTATTTGCTCAAAAGCTTAGGGCGTGATGAATTATGGCGACGTCGTTTCTAAATAAACATTTCACATTGACAAAATATATTAAGGGTTGCCAGGTAGGTACTTGCCTAATTGAACATGCAAACCAGAGGAAAGGATCGGCCAAATCTGGAATGGAAGTCGATGCCATCATTCTAGGCACGTACACTTTGATTCCAGTACCTACTCTTGGTCAACTTGATCGATGAGCTGTCTTGAATTTTGATACATGTAATTAAGAAGAGGCAATATCGTAAATTGAGTGCCTACATATTGGAGACTAAGTAATTACAATCCACGCACATCACGTCGATAAAGGAACAAAAATATTGAAACTTATAAATTCAAGCTATACCGAACAACTTGGATACCAATCAATGTTCTGTACACGGAAACGGAGTGCTGGATACTAAGATATTTAAAGGCTAAGCCCCTTCGATACTGTTTGTCGACGCAAGCAGACACCGTCAAACATTTACTTGGCGAATCTTGGGTCAAAGGACCAGACGAATTACGCACTTACACCGTGGAGCTGAACGGGCGGTGACGCAATTCAATGTATCGATTGAGTTTCACGCTACTATCTGGACCTGGGACCTGGCACGCAGACTGCTAACTTCATGACAACTGATATTTGTGTCATATACACAGCAATATACGACTTATACGCAAATCACTTGCTAAATACACACGTCATTAGTGATACACCCATCGTAAACTTTGCAAGATTCCAATTTTTAACATAACCCAAGCATGGTACACTAACTACGGGATATTTATTCGCATGTTTTTCTAAAACTTAAAAATATTATACTAATATTCATTGTAACTGTAATTTAGAGTAGTAATTAACTAGAAGTAGGTCTATGTGTGTCCATGGTAGCGTAGTATGCATTCTAGAAAGATGACGTCTCGCTGAAGGCGCCCACATCGATTGCAACTCGCGTGGGCAGTAACTTC